TACCAATTAACGGTGACTGGAGTTGTCTGTCCCTACATAACCCCTATCCGAGGTCACAGGTGATGACCTTTGTGTAAGGTCAGTGGTTGATTGACAGGTAGCTTGAAATAATTACATCAGCAATAGCAATTCTATAAACAGTTTGTAACTGGCATCTTGAAGATGGTAATTAAATGTAACAGTAGTTTGTCTAACTACTTCATCACAAGACTGACAGGGTGAAACTGACATTCAACTTTGGTACCAGTCCAATATCAATGTCTGGCTATGACTAGCCAAAAAGGAAGTTCTGGTATATGTACTTCGAAAACAAAACTCAGCTACAATGGTCATTAGGTTTTTATGAGCCCACATTGAAATATAGTCATATATTGTCGTCGCCTCCGATTGATTTTATAAATTTATACACAGTGTTTAAGGTCATGAGACAAAGAATTCTATTGATTTTCAATGATTTTCGATAATTACTGCCAGAGTTATGGCCTTTTATCACTTTGAAAAATCTTGTGGACGCTCCAGAGGCTAAATTTAATATCTGATTGAATTGAAATTTATACACTGTATTTAAGGTGAGATAAAGAAGCCTATTCATTTTCAACAATTTCTGATGATTATGGCAATTGATATTAAATGTTTTGTATGCTAAATGTTAGTATAGGGCGGAACTAGAAGCCAAATGGGTTGTTATTCATAATCAGTTTTTAGTGTGTTGTAAATTTTTTCATTTCTGACAAAAGAAAAAATATGTGACAACCCGTGTTGACTACCCAGACAACTTATCTGCTGTGGGCATATGTTTAGAAAAAAGGAAATATTTCACAAGTGGTGACACAGCTGATAGTTAATAAATTGGAATGTATGTATGTACTCCATCTAGAATGTATTGTATATGTAGAGTATTTTTAGATGATAAAAGTATCAAATCTAATCAACAGACAAGATACCATTTCTATGATCATTTGCATTTTTGAAAAACATGTCATGATCATTTCTAAAATGTTGATCATTTTAAAATGTTCAGCAAATTTCACTCATCTCTATCACAGACAGGAGGGTTAAACACAGCAATTTCAAAGAACATTTATTAAATGGGCAACATAAATATAAGAGGTTAATACTGGAGGGAAACTTTATCTAACATTTCAAGGCTATAAATATAAATTATGTTAAATTAAGCAGTAAACATGTAAGAAACAGGTGTCATATTAATACATTTCTCAGATATCATTTTATTCAAGTTTTAGATCATAGACTTTTTATTTACTCTTATTTGTTTAATTAATATTACATAATGTTTAAAATTTCTTTTGCAAGTACATGTATTAACAGCTATCTTATACATACAAGCATAAATTGAATGCTTCAACTGAACCCTTGTGTTCATGAGCCAATATTTTTCATTTTAACTGCTAATTGGCTGGTGAGCATTGTGTGTTAGTCAATGCAATCCCATGACTATAATACCAATAACCATATCAAATATCAGGTCATTTCGGGACTAACATTGTTAAATTTTATTTCAATAATTCACCTGCGTGTAAGGTGAAATTGTAGGACTCGGGGAAAACCCATGAGGTTGTCACATGCAAGCAGGGGCCATATCACGCCACTTGACTCAAAGACAGACCTTATGATCTAAAGTACACATGATAAACCATTCCGCCACCCAACCCTCCACATTAATAATAAGGTTTGTTAAATGTATTATTAAAGTAGACATACATCTACAGCAACTTCTAGATTCAATAACTGGGTTCTATATTTGAAAAAAAAAACCATGATATTGAAGAAACATGATAACAAGGGTCAATATGGCAATATATTTGTAGGCTATGCTTTAACAAATGGTTTTGTATATAAGTCTCATCACCTTGCCTCATTTTAGCGCAATACAAATCACTTGCAAACTACAATATTGTGAAAGGTGAATCTCTAACAGGAATATCAGTCCACAAAATGGTACAATTTTAATGCTGCTCCCTATGTAATAAGCCTGCTGCCATTTTGTTGCTCGCAAACATAATTGATGGGTTTGTTTTAAATTCGATTGAATCCTAGCCGTGAGATTATCTAGCATGGGTATTTTGATTTTTTTTTTCTTAATTAAATATTAAATAATCAATCTGAGTACATATAAGAGTCGGTTAAACTGTGAGAAATTTAATATCTAAGCGAAAAATACAAATGACACAATGGAACTGTACACAAATTGACATCACCCATGTTTGTGGAGAAGACTAAACTTAATCAATTAGGCATTGAAATGTAACAGTCTTTTACCGAATTAAAACTCTCAAATTAACATACCTCAAAAGCCAGTTATACAAAGATTTGATCTAAATAATCAAAAAAATTCTGAATTTAAATAGCAAAGAACAACCTCTGCACATTTAAGAACAATTTGTCAATCATCAAAAATAAGAAATGACAAAAAAAGGTATGTTAACATGTGCATGTGTGTCTGCATGTCTGTCAAAGAATTCATAGTGTTCAGTTGTAGATGCTGAGTGTATGTTGAAATAATTTTCATAGTAATTACATGTCAAAATCCAACATAAAAGGCCATGGAATAGAAATACAGGCATTGCTGACATATTTTTCATAAATATTAAACTGCACCTGATAATGGACATAGAAAATTTATAAGGATTTATGTGCTTCTATAATTAGTTCTGCAGACATCTCAAATGTCAACACATGTTTTTAAGTACACTCAAGCACATAGATATTTTAAATGGTCAATTTGTATTATCAAACAGCCAATCAACAACTGTTTTATAGATTTAAAGAGAATGAAAACATGCCAACCATGTTTATTGAACATTGGTTAATTGGTCAATGATCTTTAAAGAGGGTTTTAATTAGAGTTTGTGCATTAATATGAATATGTTTTCTATTATGAAATGCATGTATGGAAAAGAGATCAATTTTAATAGGAATTAACATCGTTTGACATATCTCTTAGCCACATGTACAGGTTCCAGTCTGGTATAAAGTGTTTGTTTTTTCTAACTGTCAAATAACCTTAAAATGTCAGGGTGAGGTAGAGAGTTTATTATATAATTTACATTTTGGAATTTAATTCAAAATTTCAATATATAGTGTACTATCTTTTATCACTAATATCACAACTTTACTTTATTCAACACTGACATAAACATATCTATTGTACTTCAACATTTAATATATATATGTATGTGTTGAGTAAATACACTTTGTGGTGTAAGGGGAGACAACAAAGGTATATGGAAGAGTTATCCTCCCTATAAATCCTATAATTAACATTTTCATGATAAATCTTAAAGGGTTTCTTTAAAGAGACTTGAATTTATTTGAAAAATGGTAACTCTTTATATAAAATATATTGGAACATCAACACATCTCCCCTGTATTGCAATCCCTACATTAGCTTCCAATTCAGAAAATAATTAAATTCAAGTTACTCCTCTTCGTCTTGAAAGTGTTAAACGGTCAAGTTCCATCTTTTATAAAAAGTCTTGTAGAACCCTACACTACCAGCAGAAGTCTCCAGTCTCAGAAAAAAAAATCTTCTAAAATCTCCAAATTATTAACTTACAACTTGGAAAACGTGCCTTTTCGTATGCTAGGCCTTTTCTATGGAATAAACTACCAAAGTCATTGAAACAGTTAACGTCTGTGGGCCATTTTAAATATCGACTCCAGTCATGTTTTTTTGTATTTTAGAGGAGAGCCAAAAAAAGCTCCCCCTAATGAACAAATTGAAAAAATCGCTCCCCTGAAAAAGCTCTCCCAGTTTCGATAAGAAGAGTGATTTAGAAATTAAGGAGAGTGATCTGATATTAAGGAAAGTTTTTAGCTTTATGTATATGGAAAAGATCAATAACTGCGTGTAAGGTGTCATTACTGGTTACATCTTTCTTCTCATATAGGCAGGCAATATACAAAACCTTTGGAATAATCAGATAATTACTGAGCCGTCTCCAGAGAATAAATAATAGTTCTGGATGGAAAGCCTGGAGTAACAGCAATACGTGACTATTTTAAAAATATGAATGTAAAAATATCATTTACAGTCAATAATTTATTTGGGTCATAAAGGTTTTTAGAATCACTCACTCAACCTTTAAGATATATCAGAAACATCATCTACATGTCCAACATGATAAACTATTCCTCTCTGGATAATAAAGATAGATTTAAGATATTTTAGTGGATCTTGGCCCTTATTCACGAAAACTTAACTAAGATACAATCAAAATTTTAAGAAATACTGCAAATCGATTGGCTGACAAATATGCAAATTGGATATATGCAAATTGATTTTACTGGTCAGCCAATCGAATTGCAGTATTTCTTAAAATTTCGATTGTATCTTAGTTTAAGTTTTCGTGAATAAGGGCCCTGTGGATTCCATGGAATGTCTTATCCTTCATTTATTGTATTAGTTTAGTCTCTTAAATAAATCTTAATATCCTCACAAACCACTAACTACCCTGTTTCAGGTTCCACGGTTATATAGACAACACAGATAAAATGTTGAAGAGATTTAAATACATATATATTTGTTCATATATTTCTAAAACTATTTCTATTATTTCTGGAATTTGTAATATACCTTAGGATGGTAAATAGTTATATAAATAGTCATCACATACAGTATATGCCATCTACTGATGGTCAGATGGACATGGAAGACAGATGTAATTTAGTAGAACCTTCATTGATGATTTAATAATTAATAATGATTTACCTAACATGAATATATGCGAAAGATGAAAATGGGATTTAACATGAGGTTGGGCAGGCGATCCTACTCCTTTTCACATATAAGCTTTGAATCAAAACCATGCCATTTGACTCAATGACAGACCTTATGATCTAAAGGGCACACATTAGACCATTTGGTCACAACACCCTCAAGTTGAATATGGGTGTGCTGTATGTTTATTATCTAAAAAGTAACATTATCTTATTTATGTGTGGTTTGGTTTTCCTACAATAGATAATATACTACCTACCTTATTTATAATTCTATGTGCAAATAACCAGGGTAAACTTTCTCTCTGTCTGTGGAAGTTTAAGGTAACTAAAGCATCAACTCCAATAGAAGCATAATTATTCATCATTCTAATCTATAAATACAGTAGAAAATATATATTTTCATAATTTCCTGGTAACCTGTGAATATACAGATACTGACAAATATATTGATGACATCCAAAATAAATGATAAGTGGTATCCCGCTATACAGTACAGTGGAGTCTGTCACTTCTGACATCGTACAGGATCGATACAATATTTCGGATTATACAGCATGGCGGAATACTCAAATTGTCTCAATTCTAGAAGGATTATTGTACCTCAAATACTGGAAGAATTATTTCAATACACCTTTGAATACCCAGAACTTAAAATATAATAAACCTTTCTGTACATTCAAAATTTGATTACATAATATTATTACGTTTTTACTTTGGACGTGTACAAACCACTGGTGCGTCATTCTGTTGATGTCTTCAAATTTAGAGTTCGAGTAAAATCATTTCTTACTGTTTCTTATATCATGATATTCATATGGATCAAGAGTGACGGGTTAGTTGCTGAAGCGACGAGTATAGAAGTAAGAAGTGGTACTGACATCGCTAGCCATTTTTAATTTAGTACACAATATATGATTGGAGTGACGAGATGTTTCAGCCAATGAAAAAATTGATTACGAGGGGCCACGGTACGATAGTGTCTGCCTATTATAATTTGGTTTCTTCTATTTTTTTTTAGGATACAATCATTTTGTATGAACAGCAATATTTCCAACTACTTTTAGGAGTCAAATCGGAACCAAGCCTTAAAAATTCTACAGGTATACCCAAATCATTAAACCATAAATTTTATAAATGTATAAATATACATACCTTTTTACGCATTGGAAAACCCAATCGTTTTTCATTGCTGAACTGAATTTTCCATCTACAAGTAAAAGCAAATTTAGAACATAGACATTCACTTGTCAGGGCCCTTATTATTTTATTAAAAGCAATTTTAAAACATAAACATTAGCGTGTCAGGGCCCCAATACATTTTTGTGTCTATTTCAGCTCATTTTATAATTTTTGGCTTTATTCAATAAGAGGTCATGTATGTTGGATAGGAGCTAAACATAAATGCCAGATTTGTAGTTCTATTAGAGTAATATTTTTTTGGCAGACCATAGTCTGTGACTACCCATATCTTGGGTTAGATATAAATACAAGGGAGATAACTATCAAACTCTTAAATTTTTCCAATCAAACATTGTTATATACTTGCCTGTCTAATTTGACTGGTTTAACATATTTTAATTCATCTAAAATTTCAGAAACCTCTATATCTCCTGTATAACCTTCACCCCAGCCTAACACACGAGACAGGTCATTACCAGTTCCTAGGGGAACAGTACAGACCATAGGTGGATTCTAGTAAGAAAATAGAAACACATTCAATGTATTACCAAAAGAGCAATAGCCAAGAATAAAAATAAAATATAGACATTTAGAAGAAATAAAATATAAAGTAGTCATTCCAAATTGGTGCATAAATAACCTAACTTTATATACAGTCATTTTAAGTTCACATTTATTTCTACTGATTTCACGTTGCCATCTTTTTCTCTCTTTAAATGCCAGCCAACTACTGAATAACTCTTTTCTATCAGTGAACCTATGTTTTTTGTATAAATCTAGATAACAATCTAAAAAACATCTTTCAGTCATTATTTTCATTAAATTTAAATAACGCAAATTACTATTAACCTTCTGACTCATTAAGGTTTTAAATTTTTGAATGTAGTATTCAACAAAATGTTGCTCGGGCTTCAATCATGGCACATTTTTTTTTTATAACCAATATTTTATTCAGATTTGTATCTGAACAGGGCTTGGGGAACAGACATAGCCTATATTAAACACCTCTCCCTAAATGAACACAGCTGAGACAGAATTTACATTTACTTGTGTCAGATTACACCAATTAGTTTTATCAGGTGATATCTATATACATTTAATGAAAGGAATTTTATTGTCTGATGTTTATAATGTAAATGTTAACCTTAAACTTGAGATTTTCTATAGCTTTGAGAACCCATCCAATGGTTCCATCTCCACCACAGACAAGAACAGTAAATGTTATATCAGGAAGTAGATGACATAGTTCAAGTGCATATTCTGGTTTATTTTCAGATAGATCTATCACCTGTTGTAATGAAACAAAATATATATTAATACAAAAGCTGATGTCCCCCGCCCCAATCCCAGTTGACACTCATTAATTACTTACAAATTAGAATCAAATTTATCACGTTCCAAAGTCTCGACTGATTATATTGTTTTATCAGTCTGCTTAAAACCTAGGCAGAAAATGCTCATTATTGAACTTAGTCGTGGTATTGGTGAGATGAAATTATACATCAGGTTTCCCCACTCTCATTCAATTAGAATGGATTTGTAGACTGAAAAACGCAATTTAATAGTAATAATTAATAATCACTTTATTTTCAAAGGGTAGCCCTTTGTTCAATTTTTCCCTTTTCAAAACAGGCATACTTGTACATGTAAACCCTTACCTATACACAAGGCTCTACACAGCATTTTGAACTTACTTATGCAAACATAAGTAAATTTTCAAAACCACTAGCCAAACAAAATTTTCAGTTGCCAAGTCTGAAGATTAGAATAATTTGTCGTATGATATAGCTAAATTATATTGTGAACATACATAACACTTCAACTTGTCGTCCTATAATAATAAATGATGTTTTAAACATCTTTTTTCCGACTGGGACTCACTGCGAGACGAAGACGGCAAAGCTTGTAATTTTGCTTGTTTGGGTTGTGTAGCGTCAGTAGCATGACTATCATCATTTTTCCCCAACTGAGACTCACTGCGAGACGAAGTTACTTTACTAGTAAAGTAAGACGATATAGGTTTGATTTGTCTGCTAGCCATGCTGTCGGCTGTCTCATAAACTTCCGATAAATACAGCGCATGCGCAATGAGGATTTCCTCGCAGAGGACAATGAGATTGACCCAATTTCAAACCAGGAAAGAAACAAGAGTGACAGTTGACCGGGATCATTGTCGATTACGTTATCTTTACAGAGAAAAGTTCAGATAGCTATAGTGTTAATTGGGGACTTCAAGATATATGTTCACTCGCCAGAAACCTAGCATTTATAAATATCTGGTCGCCATTGTCAAAATTCACTCGCAAATGCGAGTGTTTCAGTCGCATTGTAGAGCCTTGCCTATACATGTGGTATGTAAATACTAATTCATTGGATACTTCACTATGGTATATGTATCTTTGAATTTGAAGAAAACTTCACAAATTAATTTTCTCAAATTTCTTGTTATCCATAATAATTATATTTTCATGTTCAATTTTTCAAAACTAAAATTTTTCAAAACACTCAATGAAACTACGAATGGTGTAGCCTTTTCATGAAACTTACCTGAAGTGGATTTAAATGACTTCTAAATGTTCTTAATAGATGTTCAGCATCTTTACTACCACTTTTTCTATTAGCTATGACAATAAGTGGTGTCCAGCGAGGAATCTGCGGGTGCCGCACAGTTTTAACAGCCAATTTACTCCGCATACCAATCCATTTTAACTCAACACAATTCGGTGGAATAACAAAATGTCGGAATTTGCCAAAATCACAAGTATCGGTTCGAGGAACACAGTCATCATGGATAGTTCTAAAGCACCAACAACAACGACTGTCAGAGAGTTTTGGTTGTATCCCACAATCTTCATTACAAACCATACATTTACTACACAATGGGAGGTTACCAGTTACCCAATGATGAAAATATATTTCTTTCTTACTGCATAATTCCTTACAACGAATAGCCACATCCGCTCTTTTCATATTATGATCAGCTACACAAATACCACAAGAGTCACATTCTGCTCCATGTACAATATGGCATTGATCAACATTACAATAAGTAGGCTTGGTAAATATGTCTACCATAAACCAATTGTGTCCTTTCTTGATATCTCTAGCAGGAACATCGTAATGTTTTAATCTGTACCGTCGATACAATCTTGTGATGTAAATAAAAAGACACAATATAGTTATCATGATGACAGCAGATAGTGTCACTGGCTCCATCTGAAAAATAACAAATAATATCTTAATATCATATTAAGTGCACTACAACTTTTACCATCAACTTTATATGGCCAACTAAATTCGATCTAATCATTTAAGCACAGGCCAACCAGTCAACAATATCTGTGAACCAAGTGAAAGGACATAACAGCTACAGCCGAAGAAATGTTAGTAATAAAACTATCTGAAAAACTCAGGAGATCTGTGGCTGTACAGAATTTACAAGAGGTACAGACCAACCCCATCCATGAAAAAAGTGACAGGATGTAATAGCAGAAGAACTATTAGTAATACGCCCATCTCAAAAACTTTACAAAATTTCTGAGATTTGGGCAATAACTGTGAAAATCAGAATTCAATACTAATAATCTTTGGTGTCTAGCAATACAGGGTTTTTGGTGAAAGGGACTATGAACTCCATATAATCCAGATGTCAAAACTTTAAGGTGGTGTTCCCTTTTTATAACTAATAACATAGCATCAAAAGTTTACAATAAGACCAACATAATGTATGCAGACTAATAGGGCTGAAGGTAACATATGTCACCACATTAAATTAGGGAATTTAAAAATGCTCAAGGCATCTGATATTAATCATACAATACCTTAATAGGCAAATTTGCCTTGCCACATTAGTTTTATGTGTTCCTGATTTTAAATGTCCATAAATGGACTAAAGCTTATAATTACAATGTAGACCACACATGTTACAATCTCCTGAAAGTAGAAGTCATAAAAAAGGATATTATTATTATTATTAGTATTTCCTATCAGACAATATACATGTATTAAGAGTAATTAAGGCTATGTAAGCCCACGGCCACACGGCACACGTCATAAGAAACAAAGATTGCATAACAAATTACATAATGTGACCGTTTAGCAGTAAAAAGTTGCCCAATAAAATTCACTGGGTTTTGAAAGTTTTTCGATAAGGATTCAATAGGGCGGTTCCTGAACATACAGTCATACAGGGCGAGTGTAATGAGACCTACGTATAGAGCTGAACTAATTAAAATACAGAAAGACTGCACAACAACATCTTGGATAACTAACAAATAAAGTCTTAGAAGATTACCTGACAAATTAAAATAATAGAAGACCACACAACAATATTGTAGGAAGAAGATAGGCTACTGGGTGTGGGAGGTCCACACAACAATATACGGGGAGGGGGGGGGGGGTGGGAGGTCACACAACAATAAAGGGCGGTGGGGAGGGTGACTTTGTCTTCGTGAATCATAGACAATAATAATTAACTGAGCAAAATATATCATATTTTTCAATAATCCGATTGATTATTGTTATTTATTCTATTCTCAAAAGTATCAACAAGGAACAAGGAAAGAGGCTGGACGAGTACCACACAACAAAAATACAAGAAAAATAACAAATGACATATTGATGCTATTATATAGTTTAGCCCTAAAATAGTACAAACGATACAAGAATAAGAATGTGACTACAATAAATTATAATTATGATGATACACTGACGTGGATCATTCCAGAGTACCAGTGACAGTGTCGTCAGTACTCAGTAAATTTTGTAGAGTATACTCACTGGCTACGTTTGTATCAAAAATATATCGTAATTAAAATGAAACGCCAAAAATGGCTGCAATTCATGGAGTGAAAAGGGCTTGATACCTACATGTAGGCTACCGGTAATAATATTATGATTATAAAATTACATAGTTCTTATGCCCGTCCATAGCACAGCTTTGCAGGTGCGTAAACCTATAATATTTCCGAAGCAGAAAACCATTGTACAAGGGAGATAACTATAAAAACAATTCCAAGGGAATCGACGCACAGTTTTTGTTAAGGAAATAAAATGGGGTTTAGCGTCCTACTTTTTTGCTCTGACTGGGATAATGAAGACGGGCTTACGTCATAACACATGACACAATAATATGGAATACAAGTTACTTGAAGAGTTTATTTCAGCGACGTTTCGACGAGGGTTCTCCCGTCTTTATCAAGCAAAGGCTTAGGCTTAAGTCATACAGTGTGCGACGAGGGAAGCATTATGTGATTATGACCTACTTTTATTTGAATTTTACGTGACACAGGACCATCCGAACAACTATACAGTCTTCACGCCGTCCCCGGCAGACCCTCTGTCCTGCTACACCCATTACAGAAAACCACGCTGGAAAAATCCGGGAACTTTCTCTAGGCTAACAACTGGATCAAACGCTGGACCTCCTGGTTAATGAGCCAGTGAGGTCCCCACCACAGTTTTTCTCCATTGACTACCCTATCCGTGAAGAACAGTTCATAACATTCCATAGATCTAAAGAATTAATTTAAAGCTCCCACAGATCATCCACAAATACCCCCAGCTTCAAAGGAGATAACTGTAATGGTACTAACACCGCATGACTTTCAGGGAATGTAGCTCGTCGACGTGTGTTCTCTAAGTACCAGAATGAAAAATCTTACATACCTTTGTCTTTTAATATAAATTAATTACTATAAAGGGTGTTGACATAAACATATACTTATTGAAGGATTACGTCTTAAGGCATATAAAACAATAGTTAAAGAAACTTAACAGATTACACGGAACCTTCTTATTTGAGCAACCTAATAGAATTTTATATCGCAAATTGTACGGTCATCCTCTGGTAACCTCTTAATTGAAAGACCTGTTTTTAGTTGTGTTTTTAATAATTTTATTTATTTTACACACTTGTTTATACGGGTGATGTACGTGCCTTTCTTACTGTGTGGTGTACTTTACCTGATTATCTTTTTTTAATATTTTTTTTATTTGCTTTTATATCTATATTGGAAAGCGCACAGGGGCACGGTACTGTGGAAATGGCACTATGTAAATGCAGAATAATAATAATAACGAGATCTGCCAGGTAGATATGAAAGCTTTCATATTCACGGCCACTTCCTGTCACATGTTATGGGTTATTTAAAGAATCACAAGAAAAAATTATTTTTAAAATCGCTCAGAAACTCGCGACGTTACGTTTCACCTGGGCGAAAAAATAATCTGAAAAATAAAAGGAAATAACTGAGTATTGCTTTAATCCGATGACTTCTAGTTCAAGAAGTTTCAGAAAAATCAATCATGCCGTTTAAAAACAAGACGGATCAGAAAATGAAATGAAAATGGCGGGAAGAAACTCAAAAATGGCGAGAAAATATTGAAAAATGAAATGATATAATTTTGAATGGAACTTATATTTTTGGAATCAGATTGACCCCAGCTGTTCGATAATTTAGGTCAATTTTGTAAATTTTGAAAATTAAGGAAATAAATAAACAACTTTGTCGGCACGAAAAAGGTCAAAGGCGAAATTCTAAGTTTTGAAATTTGCAAACATCAAAAATTCGACCTTGATCCCGGCTATACAGAAATGTGTTCATTTCGCAAATAGATGAGGTATTCTTTAAACTACGGCCTATTGTGTTCATTCTCAAGTCCGTTAACGTGGATTTGACCGAAATAAAAATTTCATGAAAATCGCACTAATATTAAAGAAGTCGTCAATTTGGTTTTACTTCCGGGACGAAATGCCAATGACGTAATTTTGTAATTTTCGAAATTCGAAAATCGGAAATAGCAGATTTGAAGTAAATGTTTCAAGGTACTCAAAGAAAAAAGAATTAGTACAATAGGTCAAATAGTCACAAAGTTACAGCAATGTGGGTCAACTGCTTTCGTTCGTAAAATTCGGGGATTACGGATTCGTAAAACGTTTTGAAAATATATTTAAACAAAAGCCACCACCCATTCTTGTGGTGGTGGTGGTGGTGGTGGTGGTGGTGTAGGTAAAAGTTTCAGAAAGATCCTATGGCTAGATTCCGAGATATAAGATTTGCAGGAAAAAAAAATATAAAGCTTTCATATGAGCTTTAATACCACTCTTGTTGTAACTGAATAATATCTCCCAATCTTTATTCTGGTCAACAAATTGCACTATTTTACAATATTCCAATTAATTGATGATACAAATTTCATCTTAACACACCTAATTTAAAAAATTGGAACAATTCAACTAAATGATTTGAAAAGCCAGACGTAAAGCTTTTCAAATGTGACTTGGATTTAAAAATATTTTTGAACCCTCTGGACAAGTAAAATAGGATTTAATGGATAATTTACACAACAGGTAGGACACTAACACATCTAGTATTTAGAATGAGGCTATTTTTTTTATTTTCTGGAGCTGTCAAGCCAGCAAGAGTGTTATTGTCCCTTTAACAAAAACAATAAGCTTCCATATGAAATATGATTATATATCTAAACAAACCGATTTGGAAGTATGGGGACCTGAATGAATGGCTGAAGATAAACATGCGGTAAAAAAAAAAAATAAAAAAAAAAATAAAAAAAATAAAATAAGATAATAGTGATCTTAACAAAAAACAATATATTTCATATGAAAGCTTATAAGCTTTCATATGAAATATGATAGCTTAAAAATACAAACACAGTTTTTACACACCGATTTGGAAGTACATGTATGGGGACCTGAATGAATGGCTAAAGATAAACATGCGGTATTTAATAACGAAAACTAACTTATAAACAACAAATTAAACGAAAAAGTTATTAGCTATATGATTCATTCAACGCTTGGGGGAAAAAAACTGAGATAGTCAAATCCCTTCCAGATTTTTTTACTTTGTTGACTTGAAGGTTGGACGCAATAAGGAGTAGCCTTATTCCATGTGGCCCCCGCCGCATTTAAAGAGTTGTTTCCCTTGCACGAACGAAAAGATGAGAAAATTTTATGACACGCCCCCTAATCTTGTTATGACTATCGTAATTTCTCGCGATATTATTGACGCGACTATCCATCATGGCCGACCAAGAAGATTCTCTCGAAAACCTTCTCAGTAAGTATATTTTTATCGAGGAAGAAGACGGAACTAAAACACAAAACGATACCATTTTGCTGAATATATTCTCACTCGATAATTATATATCATTTGCAAATGCATGTCTTGTTTTTGAGTTGACTGACATTGCAAGAAAGGAAAGTAATCACATGATTTTGCCACATTTTTAACAAATTATGGTGTACAAATTGTTACATAATTATTTCATGATAATTGTCTAAATCCCTAAAGCTCTTACAACCTTTTATTTCCTAAATGATAATTTATTTTCTTTTCTTCAATAATTTGATAATTCCTTATATATAAAGAATATGGTACTCAATTAACTCAATATAGCCAACGATCATTACCGGTAATTTTTTTATTTTTTGACCTAGGCTAGGTTTGATTTCCTAAACCTTTTTATGACTTTTGTCTATATCAGTAATGCAGAATACTAATAAATATCATCATAATACTGTTGTACAAATTAGACAGTGGGTATTGTCTTTTTAAGATATATATTAGGCTAAACTTTCCAACTGTTTCGATCTTCACCTCTGAATATGGGTTAGTTGAATAGTACTAGTAGGCTGTATGATCATTATGATGGCGTTATTGCACTTTCGCACCTCTACCAGTTCTCGTTGTTGTAGAGACTTGAAATTTTCAGGGGATGTTAAGGATGACTAGCAATGACCGCAAACCAAATTTCAGCCGAATCGATCAATGACTGTTTATTTTACCGACCTTTTAATTTCTAACGGGAGAGAAGTTCATCCGTTCGTCGCCATTTTCTTTGTTGACGATTTAAACTCGAATAACAAGACACTAAGACGGATTCTGACACACTGCGCTAGCTGCCTAACACTGCAGTTCATAAAATTTAATAATAATTTTCGTATATTTTAAATTTTGCGCTAAGTCACCAATTTCTATAAAATACTATTTGGCGTTGACCAGATGGATTGGCCTTTACGTGTGAATATCGCCGTGACCTGACGCTGACCCTGACTTCAAATTTTCCATCAAGTTCGGGACCTTTGCGCTTATAAGTGCTGCGCCCCTATTTCTTGCTGTATTATCGGGGTTAATGTCCGGGGTGAAAGCAGAGAAGATGCCCTTAAGAAAAGATGATTTGGTCAAAGTTGTAGGTCATGGTCATGTTGCAGAAAACTGAATGCAAACTTTTCAAACTCAGTTTTAGGACATTTGACCTTGACCCCGTAACCATTTTAAAGGCCATCATCGTGGTTTGAACCATCAACGTTTACCTTGGCCCTGTCGCACACTGCTCGGTCAGAAAACGGTCAAATGCAGAGGGCCTGTGTTCGAAAAGAAGTCAATGGGCGTGGTCAGTATGAAAGGTCGGGGTGACCTCCAGTAGTCAACGCTAACCAAGTGTGGCCTTGAATCCAAACCTCCCATCGATCTCGGGGGGGGGGGGGGCCTTTGCCTTTATGCTTGCCGTGGCCCTATTTCTTACTGTATTATCAAGGTTAATACTTGAGGTGAAAGCAAAAACGACGTCCTTCAGAAAAGGTAAATGGGCTAAAGTCGTGGGTCAAGGCCATGTTACAGAAAACACTTGATAATGCTGGATGTTATTGATAACCTAATCCCATTTTGAATATAGTTATGTATTATTCGTACATGAATTGCACTTCGATAAACTGCATGTAAGGATAAGATTATATGACATTTCTGTCCCGGAATATTTCACTTCAGACTTATGACCTTTCGGACTCAAAAAATATGGCCTTGATATTTCGGACTCGGGTAGGTGGCATTTTTGGAATAAGTTGAAAAGAAAGGCTGAACTGAACACCAATTTATAATAAGCCAAAAACGATTTTATAAAAGTAACATGCAGGTAAAATTTACCGCCCGCCATCAAGTACAGCATGTGGAGTCGTGGATCATGCACCTTATAGACCTCTTAAGGAACGGCAAAATTTCCACTGTTGGATGTTTATTTCTTTATATCTGTACTATGTATATAAAAAAGTAGCTGATGAATTCATTAGAAATATGCCAATTTATTCAAAGCACGAAAGAAAATATTAAAATGAAACACATGGTTTTTAAAAGGCTCCACCAAACGATAAAACATTAGTTGCACTTACGGTTCTTTGATAATCATTGTTTCCTGTAAAAGTAATATATTTTTTAAAAAATAATAATATGCTGATGAATTTATTTCAAAATGACCTACCTACACAAAAAGAAAAGTAAATATTTACATGACATGCACTGTTTGTACAAGTACATGTACCTAGAAATTTTTAATGATAATCCATTAAGGTGCACATTGACATGCATTCCTCGATAAGCATGCCATAAATTATGGCAGTACCAATTGATAAAGTAGTGCGTACAAAGAAAAGTCTTACAAATATTACAAATGATGATGTGGGACGATCATTACAAAAGAGAACTAGCAGTGTTAATCTTTTTATAGCGGTCTCACCAATTGCCGATCAATTAAATAAACATATGACAACTATCAGCCTCACAGACCCCCCCCCCCCCCCTCCAACAAAACAGCTGTTACTAATATATTACATAAATTTTCAACAGTCTTTTAATTATTCATCCCAGTCTGAAACTGAGTCCAAAACATTGCTATAGACTGAGTTCGAAAAGACGTCAAGTAAGTCCAAACCGTCATCAAACTGGTCCGATATGTCAGAATTAAGCAAAGATTTTGCTTTTCAAATATGTGGGGTTATTATTTGGCTGTGTAATGTACTGACATCTTATGAAAACAGTTACCAGAGGCTAGGACACAAGATTCAGACTAGATAATTACATACCGGTAGTTGGTTTATAGTAATCATACGACTGCTGAAAACTTAGTGGACTGACTGGAGTATACCATAATTTTGAAGTGGAAGCCAGGCATCATGCTCATCTGTTATGAATATAAATATAGACAATACAAATATAGTGATTGATTTATTTTACAGACAGAGCTACTAATCCAGCTGTTAGAGAACTGGACATGGATCATGTGATGGCATTTTGTGAACAAGTAAATAAAGAGTTAGAAGGACCACAGATATCTGTTCGACTTCTGGCTCACAAAATTCAGTCTCCACAAGAAAGAGAAGCAGAATATGCTTTAGCTGTAAGTTGAAAAATGTAACTACAGTGAAGGATACATGTAATTAAGCCTGTTATTACATTACATGTAACTTCTATTCAGAATGTTGCAAAAATACACTTGTCCCCCAATGCACTTATATCCCCCGATTTACATAAATTTCAATGCACATGTATGTAAGTCTCCTCAAGAATTCATTTGGATTTATTTTCATGAAATTCTGATATCTAATGTCTATAGAATAGGAGTTTAATTTTATCAAACAGCTTTACCAGGATAATTCTGTTTTATTTGCAGACTTTAGAAGCATGTGTTCGGAACTGTGGACAATATTTTCATCAAGAGATTGGAAAGTTTCGATTCCTGAATGAAGTGATAAAAGTTATTTCTCCAAAGGTTAGATTTTTTTCATTGACGGTTGTAGAATTACAGAAATTGAAAATAATTATAGTAAAAATTGTCTGGCAAAAGCGCTTCATGTATTTTTATAACACTGATTTGATGGTTCACTACTGGGGCTTCATTTATAAACTGTATTTGAATTCAGGCTGACTGTTCACACAAATATATAAATTTGAATAGATTTTCACGCTAATTGAGAGTAGTGATGAAACTACTATACGGATATTCGTTAACGGATACAAAATAAGGGTTATCACGTATGCAATTGATCACGTACGCAGCTCTTGAGTATAAATGTCAACATTATGCATTATTTAGTGATAGTAACTAATAAAATTATTAATGCTGTCATTGCAGTGCAACGAAAACAGTAGTCTAAATAGAAAAAAAAAAATTCATTCATTCCCTGCGCTAGTTTACGGCATACGAGTTTAGACCGTGTTTTGACTTCCCGTAGGTCACGTATATTCCCACTCACTGATTGGTTCAATAGTAGTAGATAATCAGAATGAGGCAAACGACCTTGGCGGAATAAATGGCACATGTTTTTATTTTTTTCATTCGTGTTGATTGAGCAAAATGATAAGTGGGAGGGTGCGGATAACATGAGTAGTTATACTATACAAATTCCTTCACCTCATTGATTTTTTGGGATGTCATAGATAGTCTTAATAATTACGGCTAAAGGTAGGCACGTTTTTTCTTCGCGGCTCAAACAATTTGCAAATCGAAAGTACGATTTCATACTCGGCATACACAGACACTCATAAACATTGAAACAACTAAGAAATTATGAGTACCGGTATAGGGACTTTTGATGGAATTTCACGTATTGGGATAGCCAACAAATGTATTCGGATCACAAATCTCGATCTGATTTTCAACACTAATTGAGAGTGATGGTTTGTTAGTTGATGCTGGTAATTTAACCTAAAGGAATTTGATCAGTTTATTGTCACGAATAAGAAATATTAATTGACATTGATTCATTGAAATCACCTAATCAAATAAATGAAAAGGAAACATCATTGAATTGTATGAACAACATTTTAGGAATTTAAAAATGATCCCAAAATTGGGCCTTTGAATTGAATATTTGAATAGTAAAATCAGTATTTGATATGAACACTGACACTCATATAAAGAAACTGGCTTGGTAGTGAAAGATACTATAATATTGTATTTCTGATAACAATTTAATTCATAATATTGTTTTGATAATAGTATCTGGGAAATCGAACTTCTGAAAAGATCAAGAAAAAATGTATAGAAATATTATATAGTTGGAAGCTTGGTTTACCACAAGAGGCTAAAATAGCTGAAGCCTATAGTATGTTAAAAAGTCAAGGTATAGTTAAAGCAGATCCATCTTACATCGACAAGGTATGTATAATATAATTCTAATTCTTTATTCAATTCTGTAGTGATATGTGTTATGTATATTTTCTAATTCTACCACCCTGAAATGTATGAAATTTAAGTTTAAAAACTGTGTTAAATTCTGTGTTTATGCTTAAGATATTTGTCTGTCTTGCTGCTTGCATATATATTCCTAAACACACTTTTTCTCAAGATAACTGATGTCCATATCGCTTCATCACTACAACTTGGTTAGAAATAACTGTTTACTGATATTGATTCAAGTTTTGATTAATGTTTTAACCTAGTTTCTCAAACTATCTTTTAGATAGCATAACTTTACATAAATATTATTTGAGCTATTATTAATATTCATTAATATGAAATTGTTATTTTCCAGCAAATTACCTATGCAGCACCAGCCAAACCTAGAAGAGCTGATTTTGAAGATGAAGAAAAGGCTAAGGTTTGTTTGCTAAAATCTAATACAGCCATTAATGATATTAATATCATGAGAAAAAGTAGTAATATCACAATATACAATTAGTACATAGTATATTATTCTATCTTTACTAAAGATACTGAATTCTAATGAATTAAGAATATTTTCTATGATTTATATTTTTAGATGCTAAATCGTCTCTTAAAAAGTAAGAATCCAGAGGATTTACAGGCTGCCAACAGACTGATCAAAAACATGGTGAAGGAAGTACGTACTGGTACTTTAATTGCATTGCATGTATTTGTAATTAATAATATATTTTGTATTTTAAATCTCTAATAGTACATTTTAAAGTGTATCAGTTACAAAATAAATACACAGCTGTAAATAATGATTGCTTATTAAAGATACCTGGATGCAGGTACTAAATTAAGAAGTACTGAATCCATAAAGTTGTGTTATTATGAGTACTCCTAATCTGTTCTTAGTAGGTATTTGAGTTACTGGAATTTGTACTTTATACATACTTTTTATTTATATTTCAGGATGTTATAAAATCTGAAAAGATTTCAAAGAGAATCAATGAGTTACAAACAATTGGTAATAATGTTCAGTTATTACAAGAAATGATACAAAATTATAGTTCACAGAGTTCTGCAAGTGTTGATAAAGAGATGATGAAGGTAAAAACTCTATATCTTTCTTATTGACCACAGCTTTACACAGATGAGATAGATATTTATACCCTAGAAAACCTGGTATAATTCAGTTAGCAGATTTCAAACTTTTTCATACCAGTGAATACTATGCTATTTGTATTGAAACCCAGTGTTACAGAAATTTGTTAAAGGCAGAACAAGCCAGTTCGTTTATATAAACCTCAAAAGTAAACCAATATGGTAGATATTTATGTAAAGTCTTTGGTATTTATGTAGTTAAGTACATCTGAGTGGGTCTAGGACAACTGCTCTCCATCTGAGTACATGACCTATACTAAGAATGACTTGTACAAATAAGATTGCTGAAGTACTATATTTGTTTTAAGACACAAAAAGATGGCTGGATGATATCAGTACAAACTAATGTTAAAAATAATTATTTTGAATAATTTTAGACCAAAATGATTTTTAATAATAAAAGAATTTAAGATTGATTGTGTGTGGTTTTAATTCTGTTATTTATAACATTTATTTTGGAAAATGTTGTTATATACCAAATACCACTGAGATTTGACATACATAAATTATTTATATCCATCAATATAACTTGTTTTGGGGATATGCAAAATGTAGATTTTGAGAGCTGCTATTTTTAGAACAACAACATTATTTTATATTGAGATGAAATGTTTTTCAGGAATTATATGAAAGTTTAGAAAAATTACGTCCAAATCTGTTTCGACTGGCAAGTGATACAGATGAGAAAGATAATGATGGAATCAGTGAGTTTAATTTGCTAATTGATGGGACTTCAAGATACTTCTGTTTCTTACATTATTGTTTTCAATTGTATTTGTAAATTTGCTAACTTATTAAATGAAATTCCTACCTGCCAAGCTGCATATCTCGTCAGTACTGTTGGAGAAAAATAATCCCCAAAAGCATGCAAATCTGACTTGAAATACACAAAAAATAACAGAGGCAACATATGTTGGATGGAAATTGAATCAATAAATAAATACAAACACAATTGCACAATGTGCAATGGAGCAGATGGTCTACAGGTAATAAACTGGTTTTAAAAGATTAAAGGTTAAATATATGTATTATTATTATTTACAGATGATATATTACAAGCTAATGATAGTGTAATGAAGGTTATGTCTCTCTATAAAACAAAAGTTGAAGGAGTAAGAGATGAACGAGGTTAGTAATATATACAGTTTTTTTTTTAATTAGAAGGTTTTAATATCTGTGGGAAATCACCTGGTAAAAACAGTTTTTAGTATATTTTATGTTGTTAGAAAACATGCAACCAAATTTTTCAGGTGTAAATACACCTATAAAGAGGCAGTATTAATTTTAAGATAAATGTAATTAATTTTGTATAATGCAATATTCAAAAGCATTTCTTTTGAACTTCTTGTAAACCACTATAATGTATGTGACTGGTAATGGATATATATTTCAATCGAATTTAAATACTCACAATCTTTTTTTTATTTTCTGATCAATCAAGTGCTACTGCTTCTTTATAATCTAAAGTTATTATATTTCCTCTCTTAGTATATTTATTATTAGATCTTTTACTAATCTTTAATTCTGATATGAGAAAGTTTGGCTGTCAATATTACATTTATTTTATAGCAGAATTGGAAATCTATTAAATTTGTGCATAGACCAAAAGTGATACTTCCATCTTTGAACTAAAACAAAGATGTTATTCTAGCGAATCTATGCCTCAAATCAGATGAATACTTTAATCTATAGTTAATAGGTCATAGAGATATAGATTTGCCAAGACAAATTTATTTCCAGTTTTATGCTTTTATTTGCATATTAATATAACATGATTTTTCTTGTATAGCTGATGTCTCTTCACTTTTGGACCTGAACAATGACCCCTCCAAATCAACACCTACCCATACTGCCCAGAACACATCCTCAGCAGCCATGTTAGAAGATCAGTTTGAAGCTTGGGGTAAAAATAGTATATTAATGTTTGTTTCAAAAGTTTTCTAACTTTAAATCTAATTGAAAAAACCCAAACTATTTGTATTCATTTTGAGATGTATTTCAAATACAACATTTTTCACGGCTTATTCCACACTAAAATGCGATCAATGTTGGGGGATAATTGTCACGACTAAATTCACAAATATTATCAAATTGATTATTCAGAATTTAATTGAGAAAACAAAAGCCAGATATCATAAGTATATATTATTTCCCATTTTGGATAAATCATTAAGATTAAAACAAGACTATAAAAAGATTTTACCCAACACTTATTGGGAGCGCATGTTTTTATCATTTGCAGAATGTTACTAAACCATTTCTTGATGATTCAACTTTCACACAATTTAGTAGTTTCCATAGGATTCAAAATCCCTCAAATGAAGCCCAATATTTTTAGAGCTTAGTAGAAGTTTTTTTTCTAGATTTCATTATCAGATTCAGACATAGAAAACTTTCTAAACAGACAGTAATTTTTATTAACTTGTGTAATATTACACATGAATGTATGACACAGTTGGTGGATGTTATTACACAGGTTTCATCATGAATTTATGGTCCATATAATCATAAAGTTTGAAATGGACGGACATTGTGATGGTCATATTACATCTTAAATAAAATAAAATTCACAGCAACTTTATTTATAGGCTTCCTATATATTTGAATTTTTTAAAAGTCCCTTTGCACCATTGGCATTTGTCGCTAAAATATCGAATTTCTCATGGCTTAATCCACGTTAATATGCCCTCCAATTGAATATTTAACATTTAATTCAGAAAACAAAAGCAATCGGATATAAAACAGGCCTATCATTAAATTTTAGTGGACCACGTATTGGAGGTGTGCTTATGCATAACGAGAAGCATAATCAATGAAATTTCAATTTCACATATCTTTGTAAATACTGAATGGAATTGAACCATTTTTAGATTGATATTCCAATTAGTGATTCCTATTGCTTAGGAATGGTGTATCGGGACTTTAAAATAATATTACTTTATTTACTATAGCAGCGATTTCCTAATTTTTTGACTGGATTGTAATAATTTATATCATTAGGAATTTCTGGAAGTAGTGATGATAAAGCAGCAAATAGTAACAGTTCTGCAATGAGTGAATTAAATGATATATTTAATATGGCTGCCCAGCCACCTGCAGTTCCAGTAAGTATACAAAACTATAAACAATATTTGCGAGCTTCTTAAATTGTATCAGGCAGGATAACCTTATCTCAAGCAGAACCAGGGCCTAAGATAAGGTTAAATTCTCGTAGCACTGATTCTGTGTTTGCGGAGCTGAAAAAAACGGCATCTGTGGACTATTCTGGCACAGTTTACATAGGAGTTTATTTGGATATGTGCAGCATTTTTTGCATGAAAACTCAGCACTAGGATGATAAAAAAACACTTTTGTTACAATTATATTTGAATTACATCTGAAACAAGGGTACAAAATAAAAACAAGTCTGATTATTGTCTTTTAAAGTCTCCTTAGGAAGTGAATCCATTAGGGGTCAGGAGGCATCACTACCTTAAACTTTTTCAGAGCACTACACCTTTTTTTTCAGAGCACTACACCTTTTTTTTCAAAGCACTACACCAATTCTTTCAAAGCATGGTTGTCTTTTTTTTTCGAAGCACGGATGTTTCATTTCGAAGCATGTTCGTGCTCCAAGGCATGTTATTTTAGGCTCTGAACAGAACATCTGTCCCTAACTACTAATAGCTAAAAAAAACTCTATTCAATTTTTCAAATGTATGTTTTATACTAAATGTTGATGTTTGTTATTTACAGCCAACCATTCCACAAACTACTGTGAATACTAGTCAGTCATTATTTAATACTAATCCTACATTAGCTATGGGGATGTTTTCTCCATTAAATCAACCGGCAATGATGGCACATCAGCAACAAAATCAACAACAGAGACCAGCATTTGGTGCTCCAGTCCAAAATCGTAAGTAGCATGACTTAATATTGAAGACATGTAAATCTAATTATTAAATGCTCCAAAGATAAACAACATTCATTCATAAAATGATTTTGCTAAATTTGAACAGTACATGCTGTCATAAATTATTGCATTCCTTAATTACATGAATAGGCATTATCACATCAAAACGACCTTAGGATAACAAATTTTCTAAATAAGCTTAATTATCAACACTTGACAAGTTATTGTAATATTTTTCAACTCCTTCACAAACACTTTACAACCCTGGCTAACTCATGAATTGAAACTTGAAATGTAACTCAGGAGCTGATGGGTTAATTTAAATACTATACTCAGCCAAATTAAAAACTTGACACTGATGAATTCCAACAAACTTTTTTTTCTGTAAGTCAAATAAATTTTAAAGTGTTTCTAACGATAGTAAGTAGTAAGAAGCCTTTAATTTCATAAAATTGTAAAGTCACATGGATCACGTGACTTTTGAGGGTATAAAAATGAAAAACCTGAAAAACACGTGCAAACACAAACTTGTGAGGTCAATCAATGCAAGTTTGCTTAAACTGAACACGCACACGTAACTTGAACTGGAAAAACAAATTAAAATTGTTATTTTCATCTTTGTTAGAAAATGCAGCGCCTTTCAAATGTAGAATGTCTACGTGCTATAGGTAGGCTCTATGCTGGTCAGTCTGTGGTCACTGTTGCATGAGCCTTTAATTGTTCACGCCAGACACTAATTAATCTTAGAATGAGAGTGCTTCAAACTGGAACTATTGCCGACCGCCCAAGGGCGGGAGCGCCACGTGTGACGTCACTCCAGGAAGATCAAGCAATACGATTACATCATCTTAGAAACAGATTTGTCACTGCAACCTCCACAAGTAGAGAGATGTTTGGTGGAAGGGTAACTGCACAAACTGTTCGATATCGCTTGCAGGCTGCTGGTCTTTGAGCTCGGAGGCCCTATAATGGACCAATATTGACACCTCTTCATCGCCGTAATCGACTTGTGTGAGCCACAAGACACATAAGATTTACTCAAAGACAGTGGAATTCGGTTGTCTTTAGTGACGAATCTCGATTCACTTTGAGATTTGCCGATGGCAGGGTCCGAGTGTACCGCAGACGAGGTGAACGTTACGCTCAAGTATGCGTCAGAGAAGTTGACCAATTTGGTGGCGGCAGCGTCATGGTTTGGGGTTCATTTTGTGCATTTTGTGTTGTTGTCCAAGGGAAGTTAAATGCTGTCCAGTACAGGGATCAGATTTTGCAACCTGTTCTTCTTCCATTTATGCAGAGACATGGGCCTGGACTAACGTTTCAACAAGACAATGCTCGACCCCATACAGCAATTGCTACCCAGAACTTTTTAAGAAATGCCGGTGTCCAAGTCCTGGATTGGCCGTCGCTTAGCCCCAACCTTAATCCTATTGAACACATCTGGGACGAACTGGGTCGACGTGTTCGTCAGCAAGTGAATCCACCACTGACGTTGCAGGACCTTCAACATGCTCTTGCTGAGCAGTGGCGACGTCTTCCTCGGGTAGTGTTTACTAATGTTCTGAGATCCATGAGAAGACGTTGTGTGGCAGTACGAGACGCTAGAGGATGCCACAACCGTTACTAAACACTTTATTCCAATTGTTCTCAAAGTCTGTGAATTTCATTTTGGGGGGTACTGTGACATCACGAACGTCATCAATGTCAAGGACTTTTGGCGAGACGTGTTCTTGCTTTCTGTTGATGGCAAGGTCGTCTGTGCACAACATAACACTAAAATAGTTGCCTTAAACCAAATATTAAAAATCTAGTCCCAAAAATCCTGAGTGTCAAGTTTTTAATTTGGCTGAGTATATATTTTTAGTTTGGTGAATTTGTTCAGAAAATTATGTGTGTCATTGACATGACAAATTGTTTTCTTAATTTAATTTAAGCATCGATGGGGCTGCAAAGATTTCCATCACCATTTGCTTCTATGAATACATCAACACAACTGTCCTCGCAACCTCAAAAAACAGATCAACAGAAACCAGTGATGCCGGATTTAGATATGATAGGTCAAAGTTTACTTCAACAAAATTTGGGCAACAAAGAACTGACAACAACACAGAAAGGGTAACTTCATATTACTTTGAAGAATGAATCTTTTAATTTGAGATGTGAATTTTATCAGTATTCAAAAAAATGATAATAGAAATAATGATATTAATAAAAGGTAAATAAAGATGGCACATTGTCAATATTTTGTAATAATCATAACAGGAATATTCCCAATTGATAGAATTTCAATCAGGTGCCACAGAATCAATTTCTGTCACTGTTCTGGTGTGAGTAGAGAATCATGATGTATGGCGGTATTTTATTCTTATGTTCTGCTCTATTTTTACTGAGAATTCAATTCTGGCATGTTCAATTGGGTATTCTCTCTAATTAAAGTGGTCCCGTAACTCAAAATAATTATCTTATTTCCAGCGGAACCTCAAATATGACCCTCAACCAATTATCGAACTTAAAAACCACAACATCGTCACAATCTCAGCCTCAGCCATCTTTGCTGGATTTATCAAACCCAGTTACTTCTTTTAGCGGAACAGCAACAACTAATGGTCTTACTATGGGTTCACCATCTAAAACAGTTGAAATACAACCTCTAACAGATATATTTGTTCCACTAGAGTCAATTAAACCAGGTAAATTAATTACTCATTCAAATAATTTGAAACAGGTTTTGTATATATGAAATCTAGGTTAAAATATTTTAAAAATTGGTAACTATGGGTCACCACATCTCATGGCTGCTGACATTTTTCTTGTTTTACACCTTTACTAATAGTAAATTTTAAACTTTTTTGATTTTTGTATGAGACCATTGAAATGTGGTTGTACGATGTGGTCCACAATTGACTTCAAAATTATACACAGTTTTTATATTCCCAAGATGAGAAGCCAATTGATTTTTGAACAATTTCTCATAATTACTGTTGGGGTAATGGCCCTTATATTTGATGCTCCTCTAGAGACTAAAGTTATAACCGATTGACTTATGATTTATGATAATTTCTGAGGGTTGTTGATCAATTTGAAAAAATTTATGCACACTACAGGCTGAAGTTATTAAAGACTGAAAATTATACACAAGGCTAAAGTTTTATCATCATTTGCTTGAAAACGTTGAGAGAACCCTCAACGAAACGTCGCTTTAAATAAAATAGTAATTGTGTTCCATATTATGTTTTTTGTATTAAGGCTAAAGTTATTAAAAGACTGAAAATTATATACAGCCTTTTTATTCAGGAGACAATGAAGTCTATTGGTTTTCTGACTATTTGATTACCAGTACATATTTTGTATGATAAATGGTAATATTGGATGTCAATTAAACATACATTATGCAAGAGCTAAATCTGCCTATTGCAGGTCTTTCTTTGGGCCTGAAATGTTATATAAACTATTAATTAAACATTTATTAACATGGAAAGACCATAATCAACTCTCGATGCCATCTTATGTGTCAGATTTTCACTGGATTTGAATCTGATTTGCTGCTCAACGCTCATTGATGATTTAATCCAAAAATGGATAATCAAGACTGTTTTTTATCGTACCGACTTTAGTAATGATGATCAATGCTAGGCCTAAAATTCAAACGCTAATACCTCGGTTCAGAGTGGAGCAATTTGACTGAAATTTTCAGCATATTCCCTTTACATTATCTAGTTTTTAACTATTATATTGAGAACTGCCAGCTCTTTATCTAATCTTCCATAATGCCCCTTTAAATTTTAATTATTTCTGATTATTACTTCATGGGTTGTTATTCTTGATCAGTTTTAAGTGTCTTTACAATGCCCCCATTACCTACATAAAGAATAAATATGTTACAAGTTTTGTGGACTGCTCGATGTAGTTAATATGGGCGTATATTATTTTGCATGGTAACCTTTCTTTTAGTTGTTTATGGTATATTAATTTACATTATCCAATAATATTTACATCATCCAATAAGATTAAGACATTTTGTAATGAATTGTTCATATCTTAGAGCCATTGGCTGTATCTCAACAGTGGTTATATAATTTTGAGAGTGCATAATGTGATTATATCTTTTTGAATAAAATTCAAGAGCCCCCAATTTTCAGAGCACCTGACCTGATCAAATGTCACAAGACAAAATTTAGAGGATGAAATCTTAGACCAACCAATCTGATCAAATCTTGGAGAAGGAGTTTTGAGAACAGCCAGTCTGATTAAATCTTAGGAGAAAAATTTTGGAGAATGTCAAATCTATTCAAATTTTTCTCATGCAAAATCAAAGAGGTACCAATTCTTTTATTTGGTTTATTTGTATTTTCATGTATTCAACTTCAATTTTGTTTGTTAATAGGTGAACATCAACCAGTTACAGTACTAGATAAAAACAATTTAAAAATCCTCATCCATATTGGAAAAGATCGTCCTCGACCTGATGTTTCAGTAATGGTGATATCCACTCTTAGTACCAGTTCAAGTCCTATTAGAAATTATGTTTTTCAAGCTGCAGTACCAAAGGTTAGTTAAATGTATGTCATATGAGATGGCCGAGTGATCTAACAAGTGCACTGTAGATAATAGGTTCCATCCCAGATTTGTACATTCTAAAGAGAATTATTGTTACTTTCAAAGACCAAGTTAGTTTTGAGTGGAAGTTAAATTTGATCTCTTTAATTATACCTATTCACAGACTATTTTCTTTATTGTAGGGTGACCCACCATAAATAAATATCTCCATATATCTCGACAATTACGCCACAATATTGATATATATGCCAAGCCTCAAATCAGTTTCACACAATTATAGTCACTAAATAAACGATCATGTTGTAGTTAATAAGCTATGACCATTAATCATGTATAAATAATAGACTGAAAACTGGTTCCAAGAGTCGTCCATAACATCCAGACACTTTTGAGTAAAAGTTAGGTTATGTGCCCTTGTTTTGAAATTAGTCTCGCTTAACCAGTCTATCGACCATTCTACGTCTGATTGACAGGTCGGGATAATCAAGACTACTTTTTTACGAAACATAACAGAAAGCTAGAACAAGAAATTGAATTTAGAAATAAGCACGTTAGGTAGCTCAACAATCGTTTTAAGAAGCTTTTAAAAGTAAAATGAAACTACTGCTAGTATCATGTTCCTGTCTAACCCGAGTGATTCAGAGATATTATTTGTACTAAACCAAAAAATGCCGCTCTTAACGGTACAGTTAATGATAAAGCGATTTAAAAAATGAAACGAACGTAATTTCTAAATCTGCTGTAATAACCAAGAAGCTTAATTTTACTGCTATTCAAAATCGTCAACAATAAATTTTTTACGGCTGTAATAGTTGATAGATTTGTAGAGAATTGCAAGTGCTATGGCTATTTATAGTATCATACTGTCAGAAAGTTGGTCTCGGCACGGCGAATGTGCACGCTTCAGTGGTAGTCTCGAACTATCAGCGGTGGACTGTATTTCTGTGAGTACATGGGTCACCCTATTTATTGAAATAAAAAAAAAATATGTAATGCAGAATAGCCTGGATGGCCATTTGGATCAGTAGGGGGGATTAGATTAATAAGCGCACATGTTAACTTTGTATTCAGCCATAGGGGATGCTCAATTGTCTGTCCGGAACGTCCCGAATTGACAGAATTACAATCGAGTGACGCCGAATTAGGTCCTGTCACAGTTCTGTCAGTCCCGACTATGAAGGTGGTGTGAGTCGATCGGAACGTAATTAGACACAACAAATGTGGTTCGGCTGTCATGGTTGGTTGAGGTACATTCTTATTCAGACGGCCCATGCGTTGTAGCTCGAAATTCCCCTTTTCACTCGATTGTCTGTATTTTTTGGTTTGAGAGAATTCAATTTTGGAACGTTCAATCGAGCATCCCCATGATCTCTATCTAAGGGAAGGCTACTCTAGCCAACCTTACAGGCTACATCAAGGGAAGTAACTCCTTTGGAATTGGGGTATTTCAGACCACTTTTATGTTACTAGCGGGGAATATTCCTAAGTGAATTATTATTACATAAAATCCCCCTCTCCTACAAGATGTGATCGCCCTTAAGATAGCTCAGAGTTTACATGTTAAAACAATGAAACTAAATTATAATTGTAGGTAATGAAAGTTAAACTACAGCCACCATCTGCTAATACATTACCAGCATATAATCCTATACTTCCTCCGACAGCCATAACACAAATTATGTTACTAGCTAATCCTAAAAAGGTAGAGTATTACCAAAGTATTTATTAAACTTTTAAATCAGTTACTGTGTCAAGTCAACCGCTGTTGTTGCCTAGGTAATACATGAGTAATGCATGCAGTCACAGTGGTTGACTTTCTGTGATAATTAACTTGTATAATCTATTATGGCTTATTTGGCTATTTGAATCTATAAATTGATTTGTCCAAAATTTAGAGGGTCAAACAGATAATCATGTTATGCTTGAAGGAAGACATCTTAAATATGATTCCTATATTCAATATAAAAAAAGAAATCTACCACATGTGTAATGTTTTGTTAAATATTACTGCTACTCTGTTGTCTTAACTTATATAACCCTTGTGAAGCATTTACCAATTGATTTATGATATAAAGGTATTGCCTTGAAAACGACTTGTGAAGTCTTGTGGAAACTTGTAGTAAACCAAGTCATTGTATCCATACTAATAAGTGTTATTTCTTAATATAGTGGGTGTAATTCACTCTCTACCCTTTCATCTTCCTCTGAGCTTGATAATTATCAGTCAGGTTTGTCGCCCAATGAAATTCCTGTTTTTGTTAGTAATAGCATTACCCAGTGCATTTTGAGTCATCAGCTTTTATGAAATGTTATCAGCTTCAATGAAATTTTACTGCAGCCTCAATAAGAATCTGATTACATCTTTGATTTCTTTCTTCTTTTTTTTTAGCCCATGCTAATTCCATTTTGAAAAAAATATAATTCTTTTCTTTTAAGTTGTCAGTGAAATGTATTGTTTTGATTTTCTTTCCAGGAAAAGGTCCGTTTAAAATTCAAATTAACATATTCCTCAGATGATCAAACTCAAACAGAAATGGGTGAAGTGGATACACTACCTATACAATAACAATGAGATGCATAAAATACCTAATATGTGTAAATAATGGATAACTGGTTTTACAGCTGAATGGAGTCGAGACTAGTTAAATAAATTTGTTTTATTGTAGTCTGGTTTTGACAAATCAGTAGTGTTGAAACTTTGCAGCTAATTTTATTTAGCATTGAGATATTTGTCTGGGCTATCTGAACATATCCTAACTATTTGTTGGTATTTTTACACTTAATATATGACCAATACAGTGAATACAGTGAATAAGCTAAATGTTGAACATATCATATGATCACGCGGTTGTTTGGTAAAAAAAAAATGGGGCTGTGTGCAAAGAACAATTTGACAAAAATATCTTTCTTAATTCCCCTCAGTATCTTTCTAAAACTTTATTTATAAGACTGAAATTGCAAAGACAGGGGTAGGTTTAAAATACTAAAACTAACTTGAGGAAAACTGTTACCTCAATAACAAAAATTTTATAAAGAAACTCCAAGCCTCATTTGCTAGAAATCAATGCTTTTAAAGTTAACCGCATATGAAAAAGCAGTGATGATAAGGTCCGTTTCAAAATGACACAAATAGTTAAGATAGAATCAACAGATAGCATGAATAGTTAAAGTAGTTGACTATCTGCGAGATTGTAACATGAACATATATTTCGATACAAGGTTCAACACGAGATCAGAAGGTGATTATTGCTAACCGAATAAAACTTTATAACAACTTGTGTGGTATTATAAATATAGAAGGATATTATATATATTTTAAAGATAAACTACATTGTGATATATAATTACCATGCAAGTTATGTGAATATAGTATATAAGTGATCAAACTGTATATATACCATGGATGCCTGGAATTGTCTTAATATATGTCTTGCTGAATCTTTTCTCTTTCTTCAATAAACATTTCATCATGTAAACTTGACAAGTATTACTATAGAACTATTTTGTCATTAATTGTATCTATCTAATACCATGGATCTTATAGGTTTATGTTAATACTAGATTAGTACGATATTAGACAAGATGCTGTTCATTTGGTACTAAGAGTATTACAATCATATTGTCACATAAATGTTATGCACATCATGTTCTACAGTGTTTGATTTTAAATATGGGCTGATACAGATAATTACACAGGGTATGCATAGAAAAAAAATAATTTAATGTTAAAATTACAAGGCACAATTCAATAGTTAATTTATTCAGAGCAAAGCTAATGCATTTATCAAGTCTTGAACTTTATTAGGTGTTTTTTTTTCATTTGGAAAAGCCAAGACGATAGAATCATGAGTGAAACATCTCTTTGAATAAATCTAGGTAGTCATTATCCATAAATTTGTGTTGTGTAATGTTTTTGTCATCTGTAAAATGGCATTTAAAGAATTATTTAATATTATCTTTTTAAATTAATATCAAATAGACAAGACTACTGATTATTGAAAGAACATGTTGAAAATATATAACATAATGGACCCTTTAGTACAAAACTATTACAATACAGTATACCATGCTTATACAGAAATGACTGCTAAGGTTGAAATCTGATTTTTATTGCATGTTACTTTTTCTCTGTGTGATATACAAAAGCACCACAACACCAAAGTGTGATCGACATATTATAATCAGACTGGTGTATATACACTAATTGCTGTTTGATGTCCTCTTGTTATCATGTTATTCCTAACATTGTTTAAATGTGCTTTTAATATTGTTATATTATGTTACATGTAGCCTACATGCATTTTTTAAAATCCCAGAGGAAAAAACCTTTTTGGAAATGCCCTGAAAAAGTTATAATGTAATGGTATAGAAGTGACTTTGGTGGCATGACGGTAAGCACAGTAATACCATATTCTCATTTCAACTATTATCTGTTTATCATTTTGAGTTTTCTTTGTAAATCCTGTAGGATTATGGTTAGACCTATCTTGATGTGGGCATGATTGTATTAATATGTACTTAAGCTCATCATTAATCTGAGGTAGATAAATAAACATAGGCCCTCAACGTCATAATATTTTTAGTAGTAGTCAAATTAAATTCTAGCTTTAAGATTATATTATTCAACATTTAGTCATCAGTTCGACAATGTGTTTATTTTGATCGAGGATTAATTCTGTTTTATATTGTTTATGAAATCCATTAGAAGAAAATTTATCTTTTATTTTACTGACATTTTCATTTACAGATGATATAAAGGAATAAGTATTTATGACCAGTGTGCTAGACTAGGATGACACAGTTGCACCAGGGCAAAATACAATTTGAGAAATAATTTGATATATTCTTTCCATTTCTATCTTGCCAGGAATTTTATGAGTCTCTTAAGTTTTGAAAGTTGTGCTATTAGTACATCACAGAGAGGGGAAATTTATCAAGACTAAATTTTTGTTGATTATTTATTAATTTTGTTTCTTGTTAATTATTAATTATTCCATAAGAGTTAAGACATCCTCTATATTTTTATGTGCATATTGTTTGGTACATGTATATGACACCATTCTACATGCCACATGTTTTGCTCATAACCGGTCGATCATCTTCTTAATTACATCCACTATGGAACTCTGATGTAAGTCGGAGAGAGAATAGTAAATCTTCAAAGACTTCCACAGATGCTAGATTATAATGAATGAAATTACCATGTAAATAAGTGTTGAGGAAATGTGCAATTCAAAGATGTTGAGATCAATTATTTGTGCATCAATTATTTGATATCAAATTAACACTGAGGAGAATTTAAAGGATCTTAATATTGTTTTTACCAGCAGTTAACTTTCTTCAATATTTTTGGTTATATTTTTTTTATCTTATTAAAATAATCTAAAATTGTTGACAAGATATCATGGAAGGGGGGATGCTCACTGGTTCCCAGGTTCACTAGTTCCTCCGCTATAATAAATACTATAAATATGAGTATCAAAAATCTTGGAATGTATGATGTCTAATTTGTATCATGTCGTAATGTTGCCCTTCATGAGGCGGCAACTTAACTTCACAATCAGCCATCATACCTTCTGTTTTTTTTGATACCCATATCTATAGTATTTTTATATAGCGGCGGATTAGTGCACTTGTGGACTAGTAAACCCCTCTCCATGGAAGAGTTACTCTGGTACCTAATATGAACAACATGTACAGGTTTATATATACATTTGATGTGTGTTTTCATTATGTACATGTATGCAATACATATTTATTTGGTTTATCTTTTAATGTAAGTATTATTTAATAATTAACATATTTGTTAGAGATTATGCTATTTCTTTATAATTTCTACTCTCTGTTACAATATGTATCTGTATAATTTGTGAATACATAATAAATTATCATATCAATTTAAAAAGGGTTTTATATATACTCACATTTCATATATTGTTGTTACCCCTGCCAATTATGGGTTTAAGAGAGAGAGAAATGGGGTTTAACGTCCACTCCACACAAACTAGGTCATTTCCGGTCTAACACATGGTTCAATTTTATTTCAATCATTCACTTGCGCGTAGGGGTCTTTAGCAGTGGGCGGAAACCGGAGGACCCGGCGAAAACACACGAGGTTGGACAGGCGACCCTACTCCTTGTCACGTACAACCGGGGAATCGAAACCCTGCCAGTTGACTCAATGACAGACCGTATGATACAGCGCGCACATGCTAACCATTCAGCCATCTACCCCAACCCCCCCCCCCCCTCTAAATGCCCTACAGCTGCTCTATGAGAATGGGAATAGCAACAACTATAACATATAAAAGTCATTTAAAAGTATATCAGAGGAATTAAAAAAAAAAAAGGCTAAAACAAGTTAAGAGCAAAGTAAACTTATAATCAGTTAAAAGCTTTAATAGTAGGTGTTGGTCTATGGAACGTAGTAATGTGAGGGTTTGTAAATATCATGGAGATAGACTGTTGAACCTGGACAATGTAAAAATAAATACTGTAAGTGAGACAGAGAACCTTAAACCACGTGCTAACCATTCGGCCATCCGACCCCCCTGTTTATAAGAACATTCTGGGTTTGTTCCACTAGTTCTAAAGAGGAACCCTACTAAAATTTGAAACTTAGTAAACATTCTACAGGTCAAAGCTTCTGAGATTTTTTCAAACTTGCTGGGAACCCTAACATTTATTATTCACATATCAGTTCTGTGTGGGGAGGTATTGCACAATTTGCACCTGTCACTTAAACCTTGTAGGGTTTTTTGGTTTTTTTTTTTGAGAATGTTGAACTTCAACAGTCTGTCTTGGAACACAATACCAATACTGATAACTCTGCTTCTAATTGATGAAGAATGTTCAAACTTGGTAATACCATTACTTCAATATCATGACTATCATAAATGATCATTTTGTGCTTAGGTTAAGCAGAGTGATATGCAATTTGTTTGCTAGATTCTATATATAAAATGATAAATGTGCAACAAATTAATGAGTCAACTATTTATTTTGGGATTTAAGAGGTGACATCAGCTTTACTGTTGGCTTGCTTCGTAAAGGATTACGCCAACAGAAAATAATTATAATCTTTGGATAAAGTCTGCAAAATCAAAAAAAGAGTTCTGATTTACATAATCAAAACCCCAGAAAAGAGTCTTTACATTTTGATTTTGAAGCCATGTTTCAGGAGAGGGATTCTTCAGGCCAGTTGTTTTCCTACTGTTTTGCACACTGATAAGCTATTAACTAAATTTGACCAATTCCACAGACTTTGATCATCTTCTGGTTGTGACTTTCTGTCATTTAAATAAGATGAATACCATAATGAAAATAAAAGTAAGCTATCATTCAGATTTTATAAATAAATTATTGCACTATATATATATTGAAAACTGGTTAACTTAACACATAGAAAGTCATAATTATTTGTCAACCATCTGTGACTAGATATCGGTGTGTAGATCGAAGTATAATAGGTAAACAAGTATTATCTCTATGCCATCTGAAATATAAATATAACATATATCAAATACAAGACAGTATTAGATAAATTACTACTGATAAAGAGATAACATTAAGATCATGTTCTGTGCATATCCATGGTTCTTCACGAGTTGATGATTGTATATGTAACTTAAAATATGAACTGAAATATGTTTCAGTCTTGTTATTTTTTATTGGGGTGGGGGCATACATGTATAACCCTTAGTGGATTTGATTCATTGATAAAGACTTACTGATTGTGATAAAATAACAAATTTGACAAGGTCAGAAGTAGCCTCATAGACATGCCCACAAATGGGATATACTTAACAATTCTTGCTTGTGAGTTAGGTAATTAGAATGTGTTCATGTGAGAGTGATGAAATGTCATAGTTTATCAAATGTTTACAAATCCATTGGAAGGAGGGAAAAGTCTCGAACTTTAAAATATTTAAGTATGTTAGGTTTTCTGTACTTACCTTCCAGTTTCTATTTCTGATGAAGGATTGAGAATCATGGATGCAAAACTGCAAAAAAAAAAGACAGCGAATTCAAAACAGTACTATTTCATAACATAGCTCAAGTTGGTTTCAACATTTAAGATCAAATTTTACTGGATGCTGCAGAATCACAAAAAACACATGATTACTTATTATTATTATCCATATCCATTTAGAATATTCTGTCTTGTAATTAGCTTATTAAACAACTTACTTTGGTAATTTAAGAATATTAATAAGTTCCTGACATCTAGTAACTAATATTTCACCACCTTCAGGATCTTCTGTATTATCAATATGTTGCTTAGCAACCTTTGTTAAACATAAAATAGCTCTTGGAATCAAATCCTGACAGCGTGTTGCTAGCTACAAATAAAAAAAAGTTAACAAGTTTTTGATAGTGTATAGTAGTACACAATAGTAGGTTAACAGTGCTTGTTAAAAGCAATGGTTACAAGTTACATGCCTTATTAACCCATTGTCCATTGCTAGATCAGACACCAATTGAGTGACTGTTTTCATTGGTCTACTAAGTAACCTTGCTGACTAATCAAAATAATTGATACATCCTCTGGTATTTTTACTTCATAACTCTATTAATGCTTACATCAATCAAATGGTCATTAATTAAGTTTTTCAGTTAACTACTGTTCGTGCCACAACAGCAGACTCTAGATGCTTGCACCAAGTCATAAAAGCATACACAGTGCTAATTACCCAATTCAAATAAACAACTGGACTCTGGATGAAATAACTAATCAGAGACACATTTTAAGTGTAGCAATGATAATGAGCATATAATGTTGTAACCGGGGGGATGACGAAAATGAAAAAAATCCATAAATAATTTAAATAGGTTTAAAGGATCTTTTCTTACCTTTGCTAATGCAGAAATAAGACAGGATAGAGTTTTAGGTGTGATATCAGAAGTGTTATTAGATGCTACTAATATTCCTGATGTCTCATATGTCACTGCTTCTAACAAACCATAATATTTAGCTATTAGATCAGCCGTACATAATTCACTATGTTGTACTGAACAAAACTCTCCTACACACCACACCTACAGAAAATATTATGAATATTCCTTGAATATTATTATACCTTGTCACGATATACAGAAGGCTGTCACTATAACATTGTTGGGAACCTTGTATCTCGTCTAATTGGGGACTTAATGTCTGCTATAACTCTTTTAGTAAATTCGACCAATGCACAGGTGTCTTGGCTGTTGGAGAAAACAGATTGAGAAGTTGTCTCCATCTCCAAGACACAAGCGCTCACACCAGAGATCGAAACCACAACAGCAAGCCAGAGGAGACTGGTGTGACACTCTAAGCAATCCCAACCCCCCTACCCCCCTGTTGAGAACCAAGCTGGTTCCCTTTTTATAGTGAAATGCTTAAACTTCATTATATTTAAGAGGATGTATTAATTTACACTTTATTTATAATGTCTAAATTCTAAGAACAGTATTTTGTCATAAAAAATAATTCAAATGTAATTCAATAATTTATATACCAAGTTCGCATAGAAATTTTCTCTGTTGACTATATTACTTGTACTAACAAGAAAATCTGATATTTCTCCATACTGACTGGTTATAATACATTTATATTTCTTCATTATCTTCACTAGATTGTCTGATATAATTCTGAAACATAAGATGATGAAATGAAATGGGGTTTAATGTCCTACTTTTCTGCAGCGACTTGGTTAATGAAGACTGGCATACGTCATACACTGATACAACGTACTATGATGGACAATGTGTACATGACAAGCTGTACACATGACCTTGGTTTATCATCCCATCCAAATAACTAGACATGGTCCTTGTCAGACTGAAAATTTCCATAGCTATAAATAGTAATGGGTATTGTTTAAAAGGCAAATGTTTCTCTTCCTAGAACATCGGATATCCCTACTTATTTACTTTACATGGGAAGTTAATATAGTTTATCAACAATTTTAAGTTTTGTTTTATTGATTTCTGAAACTCAGAATATACTAAGATGTTTTGAACACCTAGTAGAATTTCAACAAAAATCAAATTTATTATCATCTAAATACCTTTTCACATCTTTTACAAATTCTGTAATTGGATAAAGAAGATCTGATCTCTCTAATAAAACAGGTAGTAATTGTATAGCAAACTCCTGACCACCATTTTCTAATATTTCTTCAAACCAAACTCTACAAAAATAACAAAGATATAAATTAAAGATACATTATGGGAGATAAGATAAAGAGATGGCAGTTCTCGCTATAATAGTTAAAAACTAGATAGTGTAAAGGTAATTTGCTGAAAATTTCCGTCAAATTGATCCACTATGAGCCGAGAAAGAAGCGGGTGAAATTTTTGCATAGTCTCGGTCATCATTACTAAAATCATTAATATAAACAGTATAGTCTCGATTATCCACTTTTTTTGATTTAATTATCACTGGCCGTTAGCGGCATATAGGAATCTAATCCAGTCAACATCGAAGGCTAGCCTTGACATCGAGAGTTTATTATGGTCTGGATAAGTTAATTAATGTCTAATTGATAATTTAGATAACATTTCAGGCCTAAAGAAAGACTTGTAATAAGCAGATTTTGCTCTTGCATAATGCATGTTTAATAAAAGAACTCACTAGCAAAACTCTAAATGTTTTCTTTGACTATCTGTAGAAAACTGTTAATATAGAAGAGCTTTCTGTGGCAAAAAAGAATGTGAAAATGCGAAGAGGAGGACAAATTTTATTTCTGTGTTAAAAATAAAAATGTAAATTTGCGTATGTATAAAACGATATACCTCAATAAAACAGGAACTGTTTGTGATGTAACTAAAACTCTAGCACTATTTTTCATATCATCCAAAACTGAGTGTAATGACTTCAATCTAAGATATAATAACAATGTGAATTGTAAAACTATGAAATAAATTATACTTTTCCAGGACCATCTGATGTACTCTGCCTTTTTACTTTGATTACCATTGGGGTGGTTGTCTGTCAAATAAGGATTATGTTCTGAGTGAAAGGCAGAGATCTCGACCTAATCTGAGGGAAGTCGAAGGTAATGTTTCATTGAAAATTGGATGGTGTAAAATTTATCATTTGACAGTATTCTGATTCGGTTTTCAAAATATTGGAGGTTAGAGGTGAAAACTGTTGTTTCTTAAAAATAATGCAGGATTTTAGTGGCTATTTTTCGACAGTAATGTATAAAGAGGGGCTAAGAGGGTCTTCGAAAGAGAACAACATAATTTGAAGAATTTTTGGAGAAATTTCTACACCCAACATACCTGTTAATAGTATCACCATGACCACCTTCAATTCTAGTTATAAAGATAAAGAGAGGTCTATATAATGCCATCTGATAAGCTTCTATAGAAGTACTAGGTGTATTAGTACTAGTAGATACACTGGTATTAGATAAAGAATCTGGTGACTTTTCTTTTACTTCTAACGCTGCTGTCATGCACGGTAGATCCAGTAATGTATGAAATATCTGATAAAATAAACACATATAATTTAATTAATTAAGGGATAATTGATTAATAGTTATAACTATATTTGTGTGGTTTAACTCTACTAAAGGTACAACAACACAAACTCTAGGTAATTTTGGACAAACATGGTTCAATTTTATTTCAATAATTCGCTTGCACGTAGGGGTCTTTAGAAGTGGGAAGAAACTGGAGGGCCCAGAGAAAACCCACAAGGTTAGACAGGCGACCCTTACTCCTTGACACGTACAAGCAGGGAATCAAAAACCACTCCACTTGACTCAATGAAAGACCTTATGATGTAAACATCAGGGTATGACTAGACCTTCATCAAAAATATGTATGGATGTATGTATGAAAAAGATTACAGAATTATTATTACTACTATATTTGTCTAAGAGAGATACAGATGGCAGTGTGAAATCAATATAATCCAAATCAAACTCCATATTGTCATAACTAAGGTTGGAATTGATTGATCTGAATAATTTTCAGACCAAAATATATTTCTAATAAACATGCTTTTGAATGTGTATGGTTTTAAACTCAATATTCAGACTTTATTTTGACATGTTGGCTCTTTAAAAACACACATGTACACACTTTATGGAATCGGTTGATACATGTATATCATCAAATCATCAAACAGTTTAGGAATAAGACAGATTTATTCTTCATCAATCAAGCATCAATTATAAGAATTTATTTACCTCTAATGATGTGCTTGGGGTCATTAAAGCTGGTAATATATCGACGAATTCACAGAGAAATGTTCTCGGATGCCAGGCTAGAATCTGAAAATATAATATAGAATCAGTTTGACATATTTATATTTTAACTCGATCTTCTATAAAAAAACCCATTACAACTTTTATTCAAGTTTCATATTAATACCACAGATAATTTGAGTCATGAATCAATTTCCAAGCAACTTTCGTTATTTAGGTGGAATCGAAAAATAATATTTCCTCAACAGTCATGATCCAAAATACGAATCCTTTGATGAAACACATAATAAAACTATCACTTAAGGTATATTTGTAGACAACAAGAAGATGTTTTAAGTCTAGATATTTCAAAATCCCAAAGATTCTTCTCGATACACACTGAGATACAAACCCAAACTATGTAGTTTGGTGCCTTGATTGCTCAAATACCAAGACACCATCATTTTAAATAATACATAAATACATAGGTCAACACAGATGCCATTCTAAATGACTAATATATTACCGGTAATATGACTGAAATGAGTAGATGAGTGTAACAAAACAACTGATTTATCATGTAATTTGAAATTATAATTATTTTCTCTAGTCATTTTTTTATAAACAATATTTTTTATTCGGGGGCCTGTTTCACGAAATTTTAACTAAAATAAAATTCAAATTTTAGTAATTTGATTGGATAATATTAGATTGATTTTAGTGCTTAGCCAATCAAAATTGAAGTATCTACTAAAATTTGGATTTTATCTTTAGTTAAGATTTTGAGAAACAGAGTCCAGATCTGTATATGAATAGGGATTGGGGAACAGGCATATCCTCTAATCATGAGAAATATCATACTGTCAGATAAATATCATTTTTCTGTTGAAAAGATGGTCTAATCATGTTCAATGGACCATATAAATACAATCTCTTTAGATAGTACTGTTTAGTTTTACCTTAAATATATTAGGGAAGAATGTTGATAATACAGATGTTTTATAACATAATGTTTCTAGATTGTTACGTATAAAACAGATTAAATCAAACATTAAACCCTGATCTCCATAGTTGTTCATCAATATATCAGTAAATACATTGTTATAAGTTTCTTGAGGATCATGGACTACAGCACCACCTATAATTAAACAAATACACATATGTTGTTTAGTCAACTTTCTTTATTTTTTGGGGTGATATATAAGATATTATACAATAATAAATTTGGAAACAAAACTCAAGATAAAGTCTTTCAATTGAATCCCATGAAAAAACCTTTAATTTTACAAAGTGGGATAACTGAAATGTTGGTGAAGTTTTTAATCAAAAGTAACCAATCAGAGTCTGAAATTACACTAAATGATCAACTTTATTGCTTAGCAGACATTCCACAATTTGACTTTGTCATTATGGTATTTATTTTTTCATAAACTCAGTACTGAACTTACTATGATTTAAGAAGAACTGTAATATTTGTATAATAACGGGGAAATATGTAGTATCTTGATATATACGACTATATAAACGTTTTATTTCCTGATGTACTCGAGGTATATGACCACCATCTATTGTACAGATTAAATCTAATATACAAACAGCTTCATATAAACACTGAAATATAAACAAATATACATACAAGAATATACCAGCCAATAACACCAGTTTCAAACATGATTGATATACAATCGTGACGTTAGATTAATGTTGTATCAACATAATTCTGACCACTTTCCAAACCCCATTCCACAGCATTTATGACATAGATAGGCATATTTAATGGAAAGAATGTTAAGTACTGTATATATAAGAATTTAGTTTTCCATTTTCGAGGTATATTGGGTTACATACCTCACCCGACAAACACACTGCATAACCCATTTTTACATGAGATACTGAGATTTATGGCCCAGTATACCAGGAAAACTCAAAAGTCAGTTTTCAACAGATTTATAACCTTATATTAAGCATCAATTTCAAAGAATAGCCACGTAAATTTGCTTCAATTAAATGTACCATTTGGACTTGATTTTCAATGGTTATGTTTTTACTCTGTGCCATTCGTACATTTTTTGTGAATTAATAAGAAAATTTCAACTTTTAAAAAATTGAATATAGGCATAATTTTCATGCAGAACATATCTGAAATTACATGAAGCCGATAAGAAGCAATTTACTTACTGCTGTTTGAAGATCACTATCAGATCCTACTTTTACTTCTGCAAATAAAAAAATCAAATATAACTTATACAAGCTCTCCAACTTCTGAATTTGGTCTGACAGATAGTTTCACCTCGATTCTGTTTACTATTTTTACTGTTTAACACCCCACCCCCAATTGCTATTTGTGTTCCCCATCCCAATAATGCCATTGTCAGTGTGAAAAAATGAATTATCTAAATTACATCAAAAATATGGATAAAAGACATGATAGATAAGGACATACATGTATGCCTAGTACATGAATTTTAAATGATAACAAAATAACTAAAATATCTACTAATTGATGGGATAAATAATCCACCCACAATACCCCAACCAGTGACCAGTCTGCGATGTAATCATAGTTTGGGTTTTAGACAGATTAACAGGGTACTTTTTCACAAAACCTAAACAAAAATCAACTTACTTCTTTCACACTGATCTAAAAGTCTGAAACAATAATCAACCGTTTTACTGGCCAGATTACCAAATACTTTATTATAGATGTGTGTTTGATCATCTGTTAATGTCTGATGTTGATGACAATGATATAACCATTTATATAACATAGAAAAACTATAAATATTCATTAACTGATCTTCTGTATAATACTGCCCTGAAATATAAATAATTTCATTTTGATAAACTTTTGTCTGTATCACATGTTAATCTAAGGTAATTTATTTTACAAAATTCTAATGTCTTGTTTAGGACACAGTTCTTACTGAAATTTTTTATATCCTTTGTGACATGATTTAAATATATCATTCAAATGCTTGCTGTATCATACTGTTATCCAATTATTATGAAAAAACAGATATTCAAAGCTATAAAGTGTGATTTAATAGAATGAAACTAAGATTAACAAACAGACTTCCAATAACTATTACAAAATGAAAATTTAATCATAAAAGAATTGGCAAAAAACTGAATGAATATAACGCATCTGATTAATTCAATTCAACAACTTACGAGTATGTTAGTATATAAATAAAAGTCATTTAGCTTCCTTAGCTCACAGATTCAAGATTGAACTTACAACTAAGTACTTACAGATCTACATCTTCAATAGAAGGCTTGATCTCACTTTAACTAAACTACGTAAATCTTATCAAGGCCTTCATGTAATACCCTGCATATTTCGGCACTAATTTCGATTGGGTACAAGCCCAGCTTGTGAACCTATCAGATTTCTCGATCGTCGCGAATACCAAGTCTCGTGCTTTCAAAATAAAAATGTCTACCTGTGATAATCGAGTTGCAATGTTCAAGGTTCATTCAAAGTCTAGATTTCCGTGGAGGTCGTGATGTCACAACCTCTGATTGGACGCTAACGCTCATGTGTCTGTAAATAACATAGCTATAAGTTTGGGAATTGTGAAGTAAACAAGCAACGTCCAGATGTTGTAAAACTCACAGTCGTTGCTTCAGGAACATGACAGATCTAATGCTTACCAGTTTTCCACTCTCCTCCATTTATTCATAAATACAACATTTTTTTTTACGGAATTTAGATAAACAGCTTAAACAGAAGTAGAAATAGACAAGATAGATTTCTTGTCTTGTAATAAAATCTATAGATATACAGACCTATATTTAACAATGTAAAGAAATTTTGACTAGGTGTACCATCTACTTCATTAACAACATTAGTCTGATCTTTACGGAATGGATTTATTGTATATGGATTAGCTGCTTGTTGTACACTAGCATTTAATAACCATTGTGATATCTGTTCACTTGTAGTCTGGATATAATCTGCAAGCAAGTTTTTAAAATTTTTAGAACTGATAACTAGAAATTCTTTTAATATACAGGGAGTGCCAAAAAAATGTTAACCATTCTGGGAAGAGGTGCATGCATTGAGCAGACTATTAGTATCCAACAGAATCTTTGTTGAAGAAAGTATTCACATTTAAAAAAGTAGTGTACAATCAGAATGGGTAACATTTTTTTGACCCACCCTGTAGAATGGAATGGTTTAATCTCTTGTTAACACAATACTTCTGTCATTTTCAGACAAAGATGTTACCTGTTCAATGCAAGGAAGGAGAATTTTGCCTGGACAGCAGGGTCTCTGCCTATTCTTCCTTGATTTACAACTGCCAATGCGTATATAGGTGGGCCTTGGTTTTCTATCCATCCAAATGACTAGGTAACCTTTTCCTGTCAGCCTCATGGATGCTTACCCTCACAAGTGACCCCTCTAGGATTCTAGCCTGGGATATTCCTGTTGTGAATCTAGTGCCCTGATCGCTCAACTATCACTTTTAATATAGAACACTCTTTTATTAAAGATATTTGAAGGTTTGACATGATGTGTGCATTGATTGTAACCATCGTACTGGTTGTTTGAAACTTAGCCGCCTCACTTCTCAATTTTTAATTTAAATCATTAAATGGCCAAATCTTTCTAATCTACTTAATATCGGATACACCCAAAGGCATCAAGAAGTGATTATGGTTTTGTAATGTTAACAATTAATTTCTAACTAATAGTTTATGTAACAATTAATGCCTAAAGAAAGACATGCAATAGGCAGATTTAGCTTTTGCATAATGTATGTTTAAATACTGTTGTTTTACAAGAAATATATTCATTGTTTGATAAAGAATAGAGAATAAGTTTCCTGTATTGTAATTCCATGTGTTATGTATAGTTTCAGTTCAATTACTAAATATAGTTGAAACATTTTACAAATTTATATGACTTGATGTATAATGAGTGCAACACTGAATTATTTGTAAGAATGAAGCTGTTGTGCCTGACATGGATATAAAAATAACATGATGACCGAATATTTACCTGTATTAAGTGAACTGGAATGAAGAATAGATACTGCTACTAGAAACACAAAACCTTGTCTCTGACTCTCAAAATCATAACTTTGTGAACCAAGCCACCTATAACAATTTAAATAAATAAAAAAAGATTCATCATAATTATAAGGAAAATATTACAATTGTTTAAAATTCAGCAGGTTTTTTTTTTCCTTTGAATAATGATTTGAATAAATTTCGGACCAAAATGTTTTTTTTAAATAAAAGTATGTTTCATTGTGAAACTATGATGATCTTAATTTTCTAAGCTTGGGGCTTTAAACAATAAATAATATAGATACCTAATAGCAGATGACAATACAGGTTTAATACATCCAAATCTTTTACCCTATAATACACAATGATAGTCTATACCAAATAGAAATATCAATTAATTTTTCACAGCTTAACACATGCTAAATAGAGCTTATATAATTACTGTTTATCACTAGCAACCGCATTGGTTCAATGACTAAGATGCTGACTTGCTAACCAAGATCGGGTTTGCTCCCGGTGTCGGATGAAAAAGTTCCTCAGGATTTTTCGGCATGTTCTCGACTTGTTTCCTCAGATATGCAGGATAGACCGCCTGACAAGGAACAGTGTCTAGCTATTTGGATGGGATGAAAAACTGAGGTCTCATGTACTCATTGGTGCATATGTATGAGAACCCATTGGAATTCAGAATACGAGATTGTCTAGTGTTACTGTCTAGGGACAAAATTTCCCCCATTGCACACTGTATATGGCATACGCCCGTCTTTATTAGAACAAAAGTACGACGTTAAACCCCATTACATTTTTTTCTGTCTAGAGTATTCCTTAAAATTGTGTCCTGTGTATTCCCAGTTTAATTACTAAATGCAATTGAAATTATTTACTTTACAGTTCTTTTAAATTACATAAACATCTATGCTCATTAACCTGGGCTATATAAAGGGGTATTAAGTTTTTGGTTCCTGAACTACCAGCCTCAGGTTGTAATAACTCAGATACATCTTCTGCTTCCAGTGGCATAACCTCTTTGACAATTCGCTGACACAACAGACAATGTTTGGTGGTTTTTTCTGACATGGATCCAACGGAAGTGATTAAATTAGCCAATAGCTTTTTGGATATTCTACAATGAAAATACAAACACAGGCGAAATTCTACAAAATGATAGAGATATAAAGGAGAAAATTAATTCCATCAATTTATTTTCATTTTATCAAAATCACTGAGCTTGATTTGAATGGTGACAGCATGGACCTTGTATTATAAGGTCCATGGTGATAGGAATCCTGCACAAATTACAGTATTGTAGAAGTTCTGCTATGGAAGCAGTATTTTCCAAGTTTAGATAGTATTATCATGAGCTTATAAAACAACTAGCTTTATCTCAATAAAATTAAATACAATTCAACAATAAAATTCCTTACCCTGTAGGATGTTCTGAAGATTGTAAAATGAAAAATAACTGACGTAAAAGATTTGTGCATTCTGTTGATTTATCAGGAACATCAAATGTCTCTAATATATTGTTACATAGCTTTTCAATATCTTCATCAGATGCTTTCCTGAAAATAAAACATGAGCATAAGTATGTTTTGAAATTTGAAAGCTATTTAGCACTAACAGGACATTAGTGAGTAAGACATTGGCTTGCTAACCTGGAGGTCCCGTGTTTGATCCTTGAGTTCGCCAAGAAAGTCCATCAGTATTTTCTTACATGGTTCCTCCGTGTCAGTGGTACAGGACAGAGGGCCTGGTAAAGGACAACGTATAATCGTTTGGATGGGACGAAAAACCGAGTTCCTGTGTACACATTGGCATGCATGTAAAAGATCCCTTGGCAGTTGGAATTTGATGTAAGAGTAGGCCGTAGCGATGCAGTTCGGGCAAAGTTTTCCCCATAGCACACTGTATGGTGTACGCCGTACGACCGTCTCCATTAGCCCAGTCAGAGCAGAACAGTAGGACGTTTTAAAACCCCATTTAATTTCATTTCATATTAACTTTTTTAATGCACTCAATGTCACAATTAAAGCAGTTCTTCAGGGTATATTTTGTTTTTGTTAATTCTGAGCTTCTTATTGCTCTTAGTAATGTGTATCCTACTTCTGTGGAAATAAGAGAGATAAATGGGGTTTAACATTCACTCAAAATAACTAGATTATTTTGTTTTGGGACTAATTAACATATTGTCATATATCTTTATTTTAAAAATTAGTCCTTAGCAGTGGTCTGAAAGTGGCAATCTTGGAGAAAACCCATGATGTTAGAGAGGCATAGTATCGAAACAGACAATATGACATAAACGACAGGAGTTAGACTAGACCACTCTGCCCCTGAAACCCCCTTCTCCTGTAAAACTTATATTATAATATGAAGCTTTGAGAAACCCTTGATTGAGGTAGTGCTATTTGCATGTATAGTTAGTGATAATTTCCCACTATACTTGTATCAGGACACACATGTACATTTAAGTTATAATCTATAGTTGTCGCATGTATCACATCGTACACACATATAATATGTAATGGATGGAGGGAATTGTTAAATTAATTTTTTTTTTTATGTAGCATAAAGCAAAATTTGACAGTACACAAATCAGCTGTTTTTATTCTCCATTTCTGGGTTCAATTTTCCACTGTATCATAGTGAATGTGCATAATGTATAGAATTTCAATTTGTGATTAGGCCCTATATTATATATACACTATAGATCTGTCTTCATTAGCCCAGTCGGAGCCGAAGAGTAGAACATTAAAACCCATTTCATTTTAATTTAGAACTATGACTGAATACCGAATTATTTTCCAAACGTTTGAGTTACATGTATTCAACCCAACGATTTAATGTGCTCACAATACATTCACTACATGTGTCAGTTACGGCCACGCCCACCTTTCCAGCATCGCATAACTTTTATTTCAAAGTTTATTTATCAATCAATAAATCGACAAAAAAAAATTGTCTGTTCTGGACTATAGGCTATATGGTATTTATCTAATAACCTGGCTTTTTGTAACAAGTTATCAACCGCTTGTAGGGCCATAACAACGAATAATGCAGAAGTCTTGTATTTTCAACTTTTCTGTTTACAAGTTTCTGTTCCACTTCCGTTATCAGAGGAAGTACATAATACACATGCGTAAAGCTATGTTGCTAAGGGTAACCGGGGAAGCTTGTTATCTATGAAGTTGTGGAGGTGCAAAATCAACTAACTTACATTATTTGCGGCAAAATAACAGAAATGTAAGTAACTGTTGTTTATCAAACATCGAAACAAGTTTGTCGTGAAAGTGCTCTAGCTGTGTTTTATGTCCTCGGGTTTATGAAAACTCTAGAGCAGGTTGAGGTATGACTGCCTTCAATTCAATCAAGAAAGTGGTGGGCAACAAACAGAAAAAAATGTCACTGTCTTGTTGACATGACATGCGACTTTATTTTATGACTTGATGGCCTAAAATGTTGGATATTTATTTTCATTTGCTTGGACAAGGCCAAATCTACATCAACTCTAAACCAAAGAATTGCAGCATTCAAAACAGAGTTAATAATATTGAAGGTTTGCACAGGTGTTGTGAACAGATTCTGTCGACTTGTCTTAAGCACTTAAGGCTAATTCAATTTGAATAACTTGGATGTTGTCCTTGACTTCCTTACTATGCTCAGTGAAAGACAAGGCTAGGCGATTTGCAACCCTGTCTTATTCTTGAAAATCAGTTCCAAATTTATTTTCAACATAGCCATGATTAGGTCCAAACGGCCCTGCCCCTGCAGTGAAAAAGTACAGTATATTTCTCTTGTCTGTCAGTTACTGCTAACCCACTTTGTCCAAAGTATCCAGTTGTTTCTCACAGATATCTAGATAGTTTTGCATCTAAATTTCTAAAACTAAATAATAATTAACGACACATTTTTTGTATTTTCAGATATAGACCTTTAAATTAGAAATATTTGAACTTAACTGTCACAATGGAGATTGTCTACGTTTATACCAAAAAAAGAAATGAATTTGGACGTCAGTGTAATTTTTCTGACCGACCGGCAGAATTACATGTTGATATTGTTCCTGATGCAACATTGGCACAAGATTTTGTTGAAAGAAATCCTGTTGATACAGCAACACAATGTGTACAAGAAATGTCAGAACATGAGGTAATACTACTTATATATTTTTTGTTTACTCATCCAGCTTTTTAGACTTACAGTAATACAGAACCATGATGTAAGGTAGGCCTTATCAATGTCACTGTATACCACTCTTATGTTTGTGAGCATTTTAAAGATTATCTGAAGACAGTCTTGGTTTCAATTGATGTAAATAAATGTTATTCATCTATTAAACATCAAAATCACACCTTTTGTTGAAGGACATCAACAATTTATTAATGGTACAGGCCTAATGTCAGTCATCATATATATTGCTGTGTAAAAAAGTAATCAATGAATTAAAATTAATCTTTTAAAAAATTATATTTCAGGTTAACACCGAAAGATTTGAAACTAGTTCTCGAGGTATAAATCACACAGAAGGTGGGTGGCCTAAAGATGTCAATGCACATGAAGTAGAACAAGTCACAAGATACAGAAAGAAAGTAGAAAAAGATGAAATGTATATTGCCACAATTCAACAACTTGGTAGTGTAAGTTTGAATTATGGAAATGATATAATCTAGATTTGTAAGATGCAAATTACTACAGTATCAGTTATGTATATACAGTAGCCTACTATTATTTCCCCTTACTGGTGTGTTGGGTCAGAAAACCTGTCATTAAATCAAAGGGTGCGGTTTTGATCCCAAGTTTGTGTGTGACAAGGAGTAGGGTCTTCTTTCCAACCTTATGGATTTTCTCAGCGTTCTCCGGGTTTCATCACACTTCTAAAGACGCCTACCCGCTTGTGGATTATTGAGATAAAATTTAACCACATATAAGTCTCAAAATGACAGTTTACGTTGCAGTGACGTTAAATCCCATTTCTTTCTCTTTTATTTGTTATCATATGTTAATATTTTTCTTATATTCTAGGTTATGGAACATTGCATCAAACAAAATAATGCTATAGATATTTATGAAGAATATTTTGAAGATGTAGATGTTGATCACGTTGATGAAACACCATCAGCTAAAACAATTAATGTCTTCAGGTAAATTACTTCCACCAACACCTATTTGACTATCTGGTTGTACATGTACCTGAATTTCTCAATTCACTTCTGTAAATTGTAGACAGATCATTTACATTAATAACTGATATGAAAATCTGATGTCTTTAGTTTCACACATCCATATTTTATCTTTTATTTTTCTAGAGATCCTAACAGCATTAAACGTACTGCTACTCATATATCCTGGTTCCCTGATGGTCCACGAAAATTAGCCGTAGCTTATTGTAATTTAGAATTCCAGGGTTCTTCACCAGACACAAGTATGGACTCCTATATCTGGGATGTTGGTAGGTTTTATTTTGTTAATTTAAGAAGCAAAACTATTGGTTAGAAAAATTGTAAAATCTTAATTAGAATAAAGGGTATTATAAAGTCTCTGAGTGACATTTTAGGGCTTTTGAATCCCTTGCAAACTACAGTAATATCAGTCCCAAAAAATCCATTCAGTATTTACAAAGATATGATAAATTGTCAACATTTGGCATCCTCTGCAAATGATAAAAATTAATTGGAAATGGTCAGAACAAATCACACCATCTTATCTATAAATTTCACTAAAATCTTTTGATGGGCCTCTTTTTAATCCACTGGAATCCAAACTTGGAGATAAACTAGTACTGTTGATATTTTGATTTTATTTTCTTAATTGACTGTCAATGAACCCCAAAAAAGCTATATTTTATCATTGCAATTTGTTTGTTTACTTTAGAAAATAATATAATCCATAATTTTTTTTCTTCAGAAAATCCCAACAAACCTGAAATGACATTAAAACCTGTTTCACCATTAGTTTGTTTAGAATATAACCCTAAAGATTCACATATTCTACTAGGTGGTTGTTACAATGGACAAATTGGTATGTATTGTCATTGGAGCAAAATCTTTTATAATTATTTATTTGTACAGGAAACATAAGATTATTACATGGTTTTGGTATTAATTTATTAACACTAACCCAGACTGTCAACCCCTCATAGCTGCAATGCAGTAGGGTAGTGTAAAAAATGCAGTAGGCATCCATCATGATTTGGCAGTAGATTTCTAAAAGTGTGTAAATTCACACTTCCACCTAGGACTACCAGAAGAAAATATAATTCTTGGTTGTGTTGTATTTGATGCTGTATGCATGAAAATGAAAATGTTGGCCATGGCTACCGTAAACAGTTCGCTATTTGTTTATTTTATTTAGTACGCGGGGGGTTGGATGGCCGAATGGTTAGCACGTGCTTGCTGTATCATACGGCCTGTCATTGAGTCAACTGGCGTGGTTTCGAATCCCCGGTTGTACATGACAAGGAGTAGGGTCGCCTGTCCAACCTCGTGGGTTTTCTCCGGGTCCTCCGGTTTCCTCCCACTGCTAAAGACCCCTACGCGCAAGCGAATTATTGAAATAAAATTAAACCATGTGTTAGTCCCGAAATTACCTAGTTTGTGTCGAGTGGACGTTAAACCCCATTTCTCTCTCTCTCTCTCTTATTCAGTACGCATTTTAAGAGTATTGGAACACATATTAATAATTATATCACTTCACTAACTCGTAAATGGGATGAAAACTATTTTGATTACAAATCTATTAGCCAAATTACACCTTACAATAAGCCTAAATAGATACTGATAACCAAAAGTCACCACCCTTTTTTGTTTACATGCAAATTACGTCTCTTAGTTCCATAGATTTAGCCAAAAAAACTCTTTGTTTGAAAATGCGGTAGAAAACCATTACTTGAGAAATGTGAGGCACATCACATGGTAGAGTTGTCTTAGAACATACTATATTATGGTCATCTACAAACTTGTGGAATTTTAGAAACATCTGCATTTCTTAAATACATTTGAAAACTCTAGTTCTTAAATTGGTGGGCTACCAAAATACAGTTTGTTTACAGTAATTAAGATTTTTTAAATTAATATGGATATTGAGCAATTAATAATGACACATTAATTCTGACTTGCATAGCCTTATTGCCACTTTACCAATTCTTTCTTTGTGTACAGCGTACTGGGATACAAGAAAAGGATCACAACCTGTAGAAATGACACCTATAGAACAGAGTCACAGAGATCCAGCTTATAAAGCAATCTGGATACAGTCCAAGACAGGTTCTGAATGTTTCTCCACATCTACTGATGGTCAAGTGCTATGGTGGGATATCCGTAAACTAGGAGAACCAACAGAAAAATTATATCTAGACAAAAAACAAGATTTTAGCAAGGCTCAGGGTGCTTATAGTTTAGAATATGAACCAACAATTGTAAGTTTTCTTCTACTGATGCATACAATAATTTTATAGCTTATGTAATTTTTATTGTACAGGTAATATAATGTAACATGCATCATTTTTAAGATATTTTCTCATAGTTATTGGAAAATTAGATTTCTTGAATGTGAAGGTTTAAAATTTTTCTGATAACCTATCTGTTGATTCCATAAGTCACCAAAAATAATGGTTCGTAACAACACAAAAATTTAACATACAAGTTACAAAATTTTGACATGTAATATTGTCGGTGGGGAATCGAAAGGTTATATCAGGGTTTTGCAAAATTGTCCAGGAGAGCCAAAATTCTCATGGAGGTTAAGCATCAAACGTCATATCAAAATTTTGTGTGTAAAATGACATATTTCTAAAGATTATTTCAAATATTCCTGTAAAAAATGTATATGTAGCCATTTAAACAGTATCCGCACATATTAGGCTAAACCATCTATACAGCAAAGACATATCCTGTGAAAAAAATCATCGATATTATTATGCTTGTGCTTATCAAGATAAAATACTTCTTTAATTCATTGTAAATTTACTTTTTCAGCCAACAAAATTTATGGTAGGGACAGAACAAGGAACAGTTATGTCATGTAACAGAAAAGCAAAAACACCATTAGAAAAAATTGTAGCATTATATTCCGGTCACATTGGTCCAGTTTATTCCTTACAGAGAAATACACACTTCCCTAAAAACTTCCTATCAGTTGGTGATTGGACGGCAAGAGTAAGTTTATCCCATATTTATTTTAATGAAGCCTTAAGAATCAATTAAGCCAGACTCGTATTTAAAAATATGTACAACTTGTTTTTGTAAGGAACCATTAAATTTTATTCCCCCCAGTTTAAATCTAGTTCTATTCTTTACTTCATATCCACCAATTAAAAATGATTTCTTCTATAATGGAATTAATTTCTGTCAATCAAATAATGTTTTTTTAAAAAAAAAAAGGTATCAATTTTTATTCATCAATTTTATAGATCTGGTCAGAAGATATAAGGGAATCCTCTATAATGTGGACAAAGTAAGTAGAGTATATTATCTTACAAAAATTTAATCCTACTTTTCAAATATAAATTTTTACATAAATCTTTGAAATTTTTTACTTCCATGTCATGATCATAATTCAGAGGTAACTCTACTACAAAAATTTCTTAAAAGATTATAGGTGTATACATTACACTGCTAGTGGTAGTCACACCAAAAAATTGTTCCTGTTTATATATTTGAAAATATTTCTTATTTCAGACAATACTCATCATATTTAACTGATGGATGTTGGAGTCCAATCAGACCATCTGTATTCTTTATAACAAAAATGGACGGTACATTAGATGTGTGGGACATTATCTTAAAACAGAATGATCCTACACTTAGTTTACAGGTATGATTTATAAAATATTATTGATAAAACTGTGACAAGGTTTCCACTAATTATATTTGATAAAAGCTACATTGACCTAGTATTCCACCCACGGTTTTTCATGTGGTTGATAAAGTTAAAGGCAAAATATTACGAACCAATCAGCAAGTATTAACATTTAATCCATACAAATGCTTTAAAGGTTTTATTGTAAAGGAAAAAATGGTCCAAAAATTATTAAAATGGAATAAACATAAGATAAAGGATAACAATAGAAAGTTACCATACCTTCTATTGATTTCATGATGTTGTCTCTTATTTCTATCCATGATGTCACCTAACCCAGGTGATTTGATTACAATAAGGATAATGTCTGTTAACATTCTGGATTAGAAAATACTGATTAGAAATTTTTTTTTGTGTAATGTATTTATTAACCTTTCCCTGATATTTAGGTTTGTGATGTTCCCCTACACAGTTTAAGAGTACAAGAGCAAGGTCGGTTAGTTGCGTGCGGTTCACAAGATGGTACAACAACATTATTAGAATTATCAGAAGGCCTTTACACGTTACAGAGAAACGAGAAGAATTTAGTAACAGCTGTAAGTCAATCATAAAAGTTTTTTTTCTGCAGACCTTTGGTTCCAAAGATTAATGTTTGTGCCCAAATTGTCTCAAGACATGGCTTCATGCAATGGTATTACATGATAAACAGTAGGGTTGTCTGGCTATAACCTCTTGGGTTTTCGTGGTTATCCAGGTTACTAATAGGCACTAATATTGTAGTTCAGGTGCTCTATAAATTACAACTGCAAAATAGCCAAAATGAATATTGAGACTGGATGTAAAATTATATTTCTCCTCGAATCAGATTCCAGTAGAATTGAAAAAGGGAAAAAAATGGATTGTATAATAAATTATATTACACATCCGAGCACAGGGAGAGATCAATAAAACTATTTTGACTTTCTTTTTAGATGTTTGAAAGAGAAACAAGAAGAGAGAAGATATTAGAAGGACGACATAGAGAAATGAAACTGAAAGAAAGAACAAAAAGTTCACAAGAGAAAGACAGGGTAACATAGATTATTTATAATTTTAACTTTTCTGCTTCATATATGTCCCATAAATCTGTACACACCTCTGTAAAACTAATCAGACATTGACTCGTCCTCCATAGGAAACAGAACAAGGTTTATTTAAAGACTCAACCAGATCCCAGTGTTGTAAAGACTAAAAAAAGGAAAAAAAAAAAAGAAATGAAATTCAATGTGTAATTTAATCTGATTGATTATTTCGGTTTATGAAACAAAAAAAATATAGAAATTTGAAAATTGATTGTTTAATGCATAGATCAAATGTTTAATGCTGTTTGTACAGTTACATTATTCGTGACAAGATGGGAATCAAACAACAGACTTTTGTGCAAGTTTTATAAAATGTTTTTTTAATTTTTTTCCAGAGTATAGTGTTAGGAATTGTTTATATAGCTAACACATCGACTTGTTTTTATCATTATTAAGGAGAAATGTCTAAATTGATTTTCAGAAATTCTATATCATGGAAGTTTTTATCCTGACCCTGAGAATATTAATTTATTATTCTGTATTGTTTTCAAACTATAGTATAATAACAATTGTTTTCTAGTTAAACCCAGCATTGGATGGTGTTGTACCAGTGGTAAGTGCGGTACACAATCGCATGTTGGCATGACATGTCACTAATGATGATAAAATATTCATAATGTTTTCTATAACTTTGGAACTGAACCAGAATTATATGTGATTAATTGGTATATCGATTTATTAGATCATGTAAATTGATACATGCAACTTGAATTTCTGAAAAATATTTAATTTTTAATACTGAAAAATTGTAGTTTTTAAGTAATTAGGATTGAGTGATATATTATGCAATATTTTCTTGGAAGGAATCATTAAACTGAAATGTTATATAATTGAGATAAATGTCACATAGTGAGTTATTAGAACAAAGTGTAATAAATAGAGTTGTTAGTTATTTAGGTTGTAAATCACATAAGCAAAAGTACATTGGAGTCGAACATTATCGTGGGAGTTTATCTCCCTGGGGCCTGTTTCACGAAACTTTAACGAAGATAAAATCCAAATTTTAGTAATTTGATTGGATAATATTAGTTTGATTTTAGTGCTTAGCAAATCAAAATTGAAGTATCTACTAAAATTTAGATTTTATTTTTAGTTAAGATTTCAAGAAACAGGGCCCTGATTTATCAACGGATATATTAGTTATGTACCGGTAGGTAAAACTAAGAACACATAGACTAATATTGTACTAGATCTAGTGCATGGTCAGAATTGTTAGTTAAGAGAAACAGATTTTGGAATTTCAGGAGAATAAAGAGTGTGGACAAATGATAGGAAATTTACTAAGATTAGAATTTCAAAGAATATTTCAGTTTAAAACACAATACATACTGTTAAATTTATAGTCTTTATATTTAATTTAGAAATTGGGATAATATTGAAAATTGTCATAGTCTTTGAAAAAAATGTCTGGCCTATCTAAAGTAAACAAAACACATCAAAAATTGACTGGCTGAAAAAAATTTAAACTGAAGGCCTGGATATAGACTACAGCCACATAAGTCTCTTTATACTTACCAGCTATATTTATGGATAAATATTTCCATCTTTTCAAAGCAAATTCCAGTACCGGATAAAAAGGTGGTAAACCAGAAAATATTTAGTCACATTTAGGGAATGGCATGCCACTGTATAGTTCAAAGCATGTTTATGAATTTGTCTTATTGTAAATATTCTTTTACAATTCATCATTTACACTTTGAGAATACTTTACATTGTTGGTGGGGTTGGGTGGCCAAATGATGTAATGCTTGCATTTTAGATCATAAGATCTGTCATCGAGTCAACTGACGTGGTTTAGATTTCAGCTTGTGCGTGACAAGGAGTTCTGTCGTCTGTCCAACCTCATGGGTTTTCTCCGGTATCAAATTTTTGAAATTAGTTTGTGTCGAGTGGACGTTAAACTCCATTTCTCTCTCTTTCTCTCACTTTACATTGTTTACATTATAAACATTGCTTTTTGTACAAATTTTATACCACAAACATTGGGTGTAAAACACTAAATAATTCTTTGCACCAGCTTCACAAGCAACAGAGTTTTTGCTTTAAACATCAGTATTGAACTTATTAGAGATGTTGATATTATGAATTATATTATCAAAAAAAAAAAAAAGTTTGAAATTAATGTTGTGTGAGCTACTCATAATATCAAGCCATAACTGTGAAATTTCCAGCAAAATGTTAGATATGGTATTCTTCTTCTCTTGAAGTAAAGAACAGAGTGTAAAATCATTTATATAGATGCCGTTTCTGTTTACTTTTGTTTAATTTAGTTAGTTATGGCTCTATATTATCAGACCCTCAGAAATGTATTGAAATTTTTAAAAAAACGAGAACTTCAGTAATATTGAAGTTTTATTATCATGTGCATGTATATCATCTGTTGTTGGATGAATATATAATCGCACATCAACAAGCAGGCTTTATTATCAATACATGCATTTTCAGTGATAAGATATTTAAAATAAATAGTTTTTTCAAGCCTAAATTTGATAAAATAATTGATGAGTAACACAGAGAAAAGCATATTGTCCTCAGAATTAGTAATATATTTGATTGTTTACATGGTATTTTGGAACTTTTAACATAGAAGTTTTTTTTTTTGGTATTTGATTGTAAGACATGTTGAACTCGTACATTAATCATTGATTTACTATTAATATTTATTAATTCACAGAGGAAAAAGAAGAAGAAGAAACCGGTAAGGCATGTGTAATCTGGATAGGTGCATGCTACTAGTGGAAATTAAAACTGAAATTTTGGATGGATACAATAACCCATTGTTGAATAAGGAATCATAGGATATTCTTTTGTTATGCTACTGATAAATGTTTTCAAATGATAGGTATATTAAACCCACAGCAAAATATATTGGAATATATACCAGAGATCAGGGCTCCTCCTTCAGTTATATTTTTCAGTTTTGACTGGCTGAATTATTGAACAAGCAAATGTTCATTTTATTTTGTAAATTTTAAAAAACATACTAGGTAGGCCTTTGATACAAATATCATTTTTTAATAGTCATTTATTAAATATTTAAAAACATTGTGTACAGAAAAAACCTGGAATTCAAGCAAGTGCAGCGGTAAGAGAGACAATAATAATAGCATGTTGGTATTAATGATCAGTTCAATGTTCAGCAGTAACCAGTATCAATCGATTCACAAACTATTACAATATCATTGTTAGTTTTCAACTTTCTAAAGCATGAAATGTTAGACATTAAAACTGTTTCACCCCTTGTCTGCAATATATGTTCCAAGTGTAGTATTATAGAAATCTAAAAGATTGCATAGAATCAGAGAATTATTTTTAGCTATTATGGTTTTGTAAGTAACAATTCAAATTACAGAAATCACTTTTAGAGAAGAATTTAACCTTGAAATAGGTAGTTTAATTTTTCTGTGGAAGTTTAAATAATGAGCTTAAACATGTATGATGTTTCGTCCAAAAAAAGTCAAATTTGATTTTGAAATAAAATAATCTGCATGTAGTATAAAGTCTTGAGATGGTGGCAGCAGTATGTCTACAATAGAAGTAGTACATCTATGTCATAAATAATCTGTTTTCTTAATTCATAGTTTGTACAGGTTTCATTGTGTAGCTGCATGTCCTCCGTATTTGAAAAAGAGCAGAAATGCTTTTGAAATTTGATAAACTGAACATAATTTATTTCAGATAAAAAATGTACCGGTTACTAAGAATGATTTTCTTTTTGTTTTCGATTCTTTATTAAAGACATATCTTGCAAATTGTAATTTGCCATTTCTCTAGTGTTGTTGGATTTTGAAATAATATAAGATTTTTTTATTTTCAATGATAACATTAATAAATTTTCATTTTAAACTATAATATTTTGTTGACTGCTATAATGTAGGAATTGGAATATCCATTGAAAAAAGTGGTAGAGGTGAGAACAAAATGTTCATTATCTGCACATTGATGTCTAGCTTTCTGATCATCACAATCTACCACATCTTATGAATGGAAGGACATAATATAGCCCCATTGGAGCTGATGTTCTATAAAACTCCATTTCATTTCATTCACATATAAATTTGATTTATTCTTGCTTTTGTTTGAAGTTGCCATATGAGCATTTTAATAATTATTTTACTTTTTTAAAGAAATAAGATTAATTTGATAAGCTGTTTTATTATTAACACATTCATGTATGCATGGTTGAGATATGCTTCACTTTTATTCAGTTTCTTGGATTAAGTTGAATAATATAACTTAAGATTAATAACACTTAGTATAATATCTTTTCTCTATTTTTTCCTTTGTCAAGACATTTTAGCTTTATCTTGGTTTCTAAGACCGTAGTCAAGAAAATTTAAACTAAAATATTTTATGGATGCAGCCTTTCATTGGTTCAGGGTTAAAACCCAACTGCAAATCTTATCTCTTAGACAATGGAAAGGCAGAATTCTTAAAATATTTTTGTTTGAATTTTATTGAATAAGGCCCCCTAATTAGCACTAGTTGGTTTACATGACTCCTTGATATTCATTTTTTTTTTCAGAAACCCCCCAGATAAACTAAGGAAGTTTTTGTATTTAATATTTTATTATAGGCAAATAAGAATTCATTTATCTAGGGAAAGAATACACGAAAGGAATTTATTTAAACTTTGAGAGAGTAATTATTATATACATGTATAATTTTCTATATCTTTAATTACAGGAAGAAGAAGTAAAGGAAGAAGATGAAGAAACAGAAGAAGAACTTATTGCTAAAGCTAAGAAAGAGTTTGATAGTATCATTGCAGCTGAAAAGAAAAAATCACAAGGTTTACAAGACAGTCAAGAAAAATTTGACCAGGGCAAGGTAATATAATTATTTACACCTAAAAATTGGATTTATTATTAATAGAGGTACATTGGTTTGGGAACAGAAATTACACATTACAGAAATGTTGTATAATTACTTAGGTCTACATTATTTTAAGAATATATAACTTCTTTGATAGATATAACGTAATTGGAAAAAATTGACACCAGGCTCTGTGGATACACATTTAAACTATGCATAGTTATAATTTTAGTAATTATTATTGTTAGACATAATTACTACATTCTGAGATCATCTTCTGTTTGTTAAAATAAAAGAAATATCAATTATGGAGCTGGAATAACACAGAACATTTTGTTATCAGTATATGCTAATAGTCATTTTTTTCAAGTTTTATTTTAAAACTTTTTCAGACTTCACCTATTCAAGAAGAAGATCAAGAAAAATCAAACTGACATCCGGTAAGCAACATCCTGCAGTATTAATCATTGGTGTAAGCTAGTCTAATAAATTACACTATTATTGTCGTATAAAAGACTAATCTAGGGATGCATGAATTTGAAATTTTTTACAAATAGATGCTATTTATTCTCTTAAAAATTTATGGCATATTTTTATTTTATTTTGCAGGAATCTGATAATAAGAAAGCTTAAATGTGCCAGAAAATAATCATTGTTCAACATTAATCATCCTAATTTGCCATCATTGTAAATATGGTCTTTAAAACAAGACATAGATATCTGTGATATTCAACTGGTTCACAAATTATTTTATTTCTAACTCTGTTGATAATTTTATTATGTAAAATAAATGAGATTGGGTGGGCAATGAATGCTAATTAAAGTAACTTACGATTTTAAAAAATTCTGAGAATTGTATTTGTTAAATTTCGAAAAATCAAAATAACTATCTCGAAAGGGGAGGAAACTCAAAGGGAAATAACTATGATTGAATTATTGTTATATATTATTATATTATTTATTTGTTACCGATTTTTACCTCCTTTATGTGTTAACATTATAATTCAGTACAATACAATTAAAACTTTCATCAACCATTTATAATTTTTGGTTTCTGAAATCAAGTTCAAGCATTCAAGACTACTTGAGCAACCCTATTCAATTTTTCCATCAGTTGATTTTAACATATTTATTCATTGTGGGTAAAATGCATAGATCCCATGAAATTGCCAAGACAAATAAAAGTTAACATCAGCGATAATGGAGTAAACAACATAGGTCTTGTCCCATGTTAAGAATTGTCTCCTTTGACACATCTCAATTTTGGCTCTCCGATCCACCATATATAGCATTTTATTGTGGAATGGAAATTTACTAATTTACAAGGAATAACCAAAAGAAGTCTGATTTATAAGACTTTTAGTACAGAACGCAAAGCATGAAAATATACTCTTCAAATAAAAGTAGGGATATTGAAATGCAAATACCTATATATGCAGGTTGTCATATGATAAACAGTCATGGACACTTGGCATGCTTTGAGAGTATGTTCACAGATGAAGAACTTATCGCCCCAACAGAACCACTGAGTTGCAATGCACATGCGACACGCAATAGCGCCATACACGTGGGAGGGGTTCATTGTCAAATTTGACACTTCAAGGAAGGGTTGATGAAAACTGCCGTTTGCTGGTTTATCCTATACATGTTTGCTTTCCTATCGGTTCTTGCATAAGATTTACTGTTTATCGTATCTTTGCTTTAGTGTGTTACGTTTAATTTGATCGGGGGACGTGTTCGTCAACGTCAACCGACAACACTGCAAGAATTGGCCGTGGCACTGCAAGGGGATTGGGTTAGATTGCCCCAAATCGTGATTGGACGGTTGATTAGGAGCATGTCACGACGAATTGCTGAATGTCTGAGGATTGGTGGAGCAATTACTCATTATTAAGACCAAAAACAAAAACGTCAATTTTCACTTGACAGTGTATCTCTTTGCCAGTGAAATGGGGCCGTCAGATAAGCCGCCCATATGAACTGTTCATGTGTAGGCAATTGGCCTGTTGTTAACATACACTGGTTACCTCTAATAAAAACAGCAGTGTATTTCCACAGTTTTCTATTGTTTCTGAATATCCCCCAGGTTTTTTTTTGAAAAGTATATATTCACCTTAACAGTCTTCATTAGCCCAGTCGGAACAGAAGAGTACGTAGGACGTAAAACTTCATTTCTTTAAGTACAAAGTTATTTCCCTTGACACAATTCGCGATACATTTACCCGATCCCAGAAGTCAATAAATGAAACAGTCAGTGAGAGGTTTAGCAAATTGTTAAAAACAGACGAAGAACCTGAAGAATGCATCATGTTTTTACTTTGGGGCTATTTGGTCGTAATTGACTACACACTATCGGACTAATTGATTGTATGACTATTCATACAAGGTTACCCGTCGATCTGGTTTTTTTTGTTTTAACAACCGACGTGTAAAATATTCAAACGCACATGCAAATTTCCCCTCAAATTCCAAAATCCCCTCCCCCCCCCACCCAGTGACCTTTTGAAAATCAATTTTCTTTTAAATCAATACCGACCACTTTTTTTTTACAACAATAAAAGCTAAGATATATGTTTTATGCATGCTAAAAATCATTAGGGAAGGGAATGTAACCATGCTTCGAGAGTAAAACGTGTCATGAAATATTCAATATATGAAAATTGTCTATTGATAAAAACTCCATCATGGAAATTAATTTCTTCCATGGTTTCATAAAAACAAACTTGACATAAATCGATGTGCAATTACTATTTGCATTGAAAGTAATGAAAACTCCATTAGATAAATCGAACTAAAGGAGGTTTTTTAAAATGAGAACTGAAAAATCTATGTTATCACTATAATAATCAAACATTGCCTGCGCTTTAAATAAAATAACAACAGGTATACCGGTAGCGATGGCATGAATTAAAGTGACAGAAAATCTATTTGACATTTCATTTTAAAAAAAAATACCTGTATCTTGTTTTATTCCTCACTGCTTGGTTTCCGTCCTAAACTGCAAATTCGAAGTCAGTTTTCAAATTTCTATTCAGTATTCATATATATATTATAGATTTAAAATCACGTCAACGGTGAAACTCAATCAATTATCCGTCCAATATTATAGGGTATCGCTTTGAGGAATTCCGAGGTACAAGACCCACTGGTTACTGGGTGGGCTATGATCTACATCTAAAGTTTCTGAAGTCCGAAGTTCGGCGATCTGAAGTAGTCTTAGCTAAAAACGTTGAGATACTGATGTGCTTGTTTTTAGCTACGATTAGGTGCCTTTAGTTTCACCTGGCAAACTTAATTTCTTTATTAATGCATGTAACATCTTAAAATAAGTTAATTTTATACTATTAGAACTTATTACACATACGCAGCCCAATCTTCTGATACAACTTTCATTTATCAGTAAATATTTACAATAAAGTAAATCAAGAGTTTTTATCAAAATTGATATGGACATTCATATTTACGGTGTATTCGGCCAGCGCAACTTGGATCAGGTTAGTACTTTGATTGGCGGGGGGTTTGAAGGGCGAATGGTTAGCGCGTGTGCGCTGTATCATTAGGTCTGTCATTGAGTAAATTGGCGTGGTTTCCATTCCCCGGTTGTAGTGACAAGGAGTAGGGTCGCCTGTCCAACCTCTATGGTTTTCTCCGAATCCTCCGTTTTCCTTGCACTGCTAAAGACCCCTATGCACAAGCTAATTCTAAAGTAGCCTGTGTGCAATGATCTCTATGAGAAATAGGGGTCACGGTGGCTAAGTGGGTAAAGACGCCGACTCGCTAGCCTGGAGGTCGCGTGTTCGATTCTTGAATTGGCCAAGTTCATTAGGATTTTCCGACGTAGTTTCCCCTTGTCAGTGGTGCAGGACCGAGTGCCTGACAGGACAGCAGTCTAGTCGTTCGGATGGGACGAAAAAACCGAGGTCTCGTGTACACATTGGCGTGCACGTAAAATATCCTTTCGAAGTTGGAATTTGATATGGGTGGAGGCCGTTGGCCTGGCAAAATTTCCCTCATATGGCATATATATGCCCGTCTTCATTAGCCCAGTCACGAGCAAAACAGTAAAATATCTCGACAATTACACCACATTATTTATATATATAAATATATTTAAGCATTAAATTAGTTTCGTAGATTTATAGTCACTAAATAAACGGTCATGTTGTACTTAATAAGCTATGACTATTTAACCATCGATAAATAATAGACTGCATGGAAAATGGTTACGAGTGTCGGCCAAAATATCCGTGCACTTTTGAGTAAATAGATTACGTGCCCTTGTTTTGAAATTAGTCTACCGACCATTCATCGGCTGATTGACAGGCCGGGATAATCAAGACTACTTTTTTTATTTACCAAATATAACAGAATGCTGGACCAAGGCAACTCAACAATTGTTTTAAGAACCTTGTAAAAGTAAAATGAAACTACTGCTAGTATCATGTTCTTACCTAACCCGAGTGTTTCAGAGATATTATTTGTACTAAACCAAAAGATGCCGTTCCTAACAGTATAGTTAATGATCAAGCAATTTAAGAAATAAAACGAACGTAATTTCTAAATCTGCTGTAATAGCCAAAAGCTAAACATTACTGCGGTGCTATTCAGAATCGTCAACAATAGATTTTTTACGACTAATAGTTGATAGCTGTGTAGGGATTTTCAGTTGCGATGGCTATTTATAGACTCATGGACTCTTGCGCTGAGTGTTATTGCACCGCGTGACTAGCCAGAAATTACTTCGAGACAAGCCACTGAAACGTGCACATTCGCCGTGTCGAGTTCAACTTTCAGTAGGGAAAATTTTTGCTGCATGGGGCACCCTAATTCAGGCACATTTTGTTTTGGTGTGTCATAGCTATTTAGCTATGCAAACATATTCTAGAAAGTCATATTTAAGGAATCTGAAAACCTGGCGCACCGAGCGTGAAAACATTGTTACTGGGTGGCCATAATAACTACCTCTCAGTCCAGTTCTTTATATTATCACTATAATAAAATTATTTTGTAATGGATATACAATTTTAAGATACTTTGGTTTGGGATAAATTATATTTCGTGAATCACCATTTTCCATATCAAACTGCAAAATTGCAGAAAAATTGACGTCGCAATGGAGGTAAGAGATGGTGTACGGGAAATGAAATGCAAGTCACATTGCAGTAAGACCCACAGAGCCGGACAATAAATATGCTAACATTACATTTCATAAATTACATTACTCCGAAAAAAGGGTCAACAGAAAGGGTACCACAATAAAATTAAATGGCAACACCTCCAGGTCTTCTTTTCGAATGAAAAAATGTATTTTTCAGTTTCATATCCTTTTAGGGATGATAATCCGGCCCGACTCACTGTTGGTTTGTTCTAAGCAGGCCAGTACTTGAATTTTCGGAAGTTAATCTGAATATGACCATATTAATACATTTTCTCATAGAGTTATAATGTCTCTTTAAGTGATATTGAACAGGATGGAGTTTTGAATGACATATATACCCAATTTACTTATATATAACTTACAATAACATGATACTTGTTGATATTGTATTATTAATTTTGTAAGTCAGTACATCAGTTTTACACACACCTTGTTATTATAATTATTATAAACTAAATATTTTGATCACATTCCCCTTAAGGCTATATCCGATCAAATGGTGTTTCTAAATGATATGATGCCAGAAAACTCTTACAGATCAATATATCTGTTTTCATGATGGAGATTGGACAAATTAAAGGGGTTATCAAGTAATGCGATTAATAAACCACAACAATACAATTAATTAGGTATTCGGACTACTGCGTTTGTTGTTGTGTGTGTGTGTGTGGGGGGGGGGGGGCGATATTTTCTCAGAAAAAAAAAATGCTTCGATGCAATCAGTATAGAAATATTGTTAGTAAATGCTATAATGGATTAATATGTTGCGCACCAAAGTTCAAAATAAGACCATGCTTGCAATGAATTAATCCGGACTAAAGTTAAAAAGGTGTGACCTTTTGATTTAGGTCGACAGTTGAACATAAAATCATGTTTATCTCTTCGTGTAAAATAACGAATAAGAGTGTACCTTTAATCCAGTATATACAAATATTTTTTAATTCTGACAGTTTTACTGCCCAACCTTGTGGGTTTTCTCTCGTTTCGACCCACTGCTATGTTAGTCCCGAAATGACCTAGTTAGTGTTGGGTTTGCACGGATACTCCACCTCCCCACCCCCCGTGTAACAATTATATAGCATTATGTTCAATATTGATATCGAAGGTTTGAGTACTCCTTAACAGAACTGGCTTCACTAATGTTTGCGGTTGACGTCAAGATTTAAGACCTATGTGTCTCCGGATATCCGGATATCTGAAAGTTGACAGGTTGCTGTTTACCAGAGTTAATATAAATATACCTGTTTGTTGTGCCGTTACTACCACCCATTTTTTTCCATAGAACTATCCCTAAAAGCTTACAATACAAGTGCTTTGTCCAATGGTAAAATGAACAAGGTGTAATCAAAAAATCTAAGTAGATTAAGAAATAAAATGGGTGTGGTGAGGAAAAGGAAAATTGCTTTTCAGTTCTTTTAAGACTACGCAATGTTGATCTATATGGACTAATTAAGTGCATATTAAAGTAAAGACAGTCTTTATGATTATTAAACAAAAATATGCCCAACAGCAGCCAAGTCGCCCGCGCTTTATATAAAGGTTGAACAACTCAATCATGTTTGAGAAAGAAATCTTCACAAATTGTTTGACTCCCTATATATATACTCTTCAAAAAGTAGGGGATATTCAGAAACAATACAAAACTGCGGAAATGCACTGCTGTTTTTATTAGAGATAACCAGTGGATGTTAATAACAGGCCAATTGCCTACACATGAACATAAACAGTTCATATGAATTCAATGATGCTATACTTGCTGGTTAATTCGCTTCTTCATTTTCCTTTATGTCAATGTGTGCTTCCCTTTTCCATGACTTCTGACCTTAATTCCGAGTTTTCATTCTGGACAGGTAACTCAGTGAGTCACTCGGTTTGACATACTTTCTCGTCTTCTAGTGGGGTATCCATGATAGCGTGTTACGAATGAGCTGTTCATTCCCTGTTTATAGTTTGGCAAGAAATCCAAACGACTTGGTGTCCCTTTTAGAAATCTGTGATCCATGCAAACATGACCTCATTCATCTGACGGTCAGTTGACCTAAAAGTGTGCTAAAGAGAAAGCATGAACACTCTTGTTGTACGCATGTATGAAGTCAGGAGCATGCTAGAGGAGCCTTGCAACGTCACACGCACGGTCTTTGTACGGGTGACATGCATTAGACCTTTAGACCTACACAAGTACTCCTGATTGATTATCATTGCGGCCCGCATGTCAGAAGTACATCTCAGTGCACAAAACCTGTACTACAATTACAATGGATTCTTTTCGATAATTATATACTCTTGAGCCTTGTAGATGCCCATTACAAGTTTTTGTGAACGAGTGTTGGTGTCAATGGATTGGCGTCGGATAGTGGGGTCTTCAACAGATCAAGCCTTTGTTCTAAATTGGAATATAACTAGCTTATAGTCTTCCTCGACCAGAACGATTGGTGGGAGATGACGCCTTTCCATTGCGAACTTGGGTGATGAAGCCATACAGTCTTCGTGGGATGACAAGAATCCAGTGTATTTTCAACTATACCGTACATCCCGTGCACACCGTATTGAGAATGTATTTGGCATTCTGGCACACCGTTGGAGATGCCTCCTGACGACACTGCAATTGTAATAATTTGGTCCTTAAGACCATGATATTGTATCTTTAACTAATTATTGGTTCACACTTTCTATAGAGTCAAAATACCACGGACTAATGAAGGTAAATGATATATTTTATATATAAAAACAGTAATATTTTGGTAAAATCCTTACCATTGTCAAAGTATCCATCAAATTCTATCTGTTTATGACATGTGTTTGGTAGACCGAATAAAGTATTACCGCTTTACATAAAAAGGAAGGTGTTTGACAGTGTATTCACAGAAGCACAATATGGAACCAGTTCCTGTTTTAAACAAAAACCTGTTGATCCCCAATGGCTGCAACAATTTGTCACATCATGTGTGTATTTAAATTGTATCCCCGATATTTTTCATCTTGATGTGAACTTTACAATGAAATAAAAATGCCAGAGAAAACAGCCCTATTGTACAATCTGAATTATGTGAACAAGCATTTTCCGTCTTCATTAAGCCGGTTGGTACAGACAAGTAGGTCATTAAACCCCACTTCTGAAATGTATGATGAGCACATACTGATAATACTGGGGTGTTTATGTTTGCTTTCAGTCTTTCGAACTAAATTCTTCGTAAATCAGTATAAGAAGTTCTAAGGTTTGCTTCACTGATCGTGTTTGTTAATTTTGTGCCAAATTAATATTCTAGGATGTAAGTGCATATTTGACCCAGTAGATTGTAAATGTGGGTGGGTGGGTTCCTAACAGTTTGTTTTCTTATCATGTTGATTAAACATTAAACAATTATAAGACAGGTACTTTTTTATATATCTAACACGCTATCAGACAGAACCAGAACCCTCGATATAGACTCAGAGATGACATTAAAATAGCAGTCACGAGGCTGGTCTTCAATCATCGATTAATGACGTCAGAATATCTAAAACCCAAAGCTCTTAATGCAGCTTACTAATACTATAAGAATGTGATCTTCTTAAATAATTACGACCAATGTTCTGAACATCTTCATGGGTCAAGGCATAAGATGATTATTGCTAGAATATTTCCTGGTCAAAAACATTTATCTTGTAGACTGCGGGAAATGGGTAGTCCGCCCTTTAAATATTATGAGCCAATTGGCGCAATATGTAATCCAATGAATGAGGGTCAGATAGTGTAATAAAAAGTAGGGGTGTACAGGATAGTAGATGATACTACACTACCGGATTTGGGAGCCGCGATGGTTCAGTGAGTAAGGTGTTGACTCGCTAACCTGGAGGTCTAGTATTCGACTGAGGACCTTGCAAGGGACAACGTATATAGTCGTTCGGATTTAACGAAAAGCCGAGGTCCTGTGTAAATATTGGCGCGCACTTAAAAAATCCCTTGGCAGTTAGATTCGATATAAGAGTAAGCCGTGGCGCCGCTGTCCGGGCAAAATGTTCCTCATATCATACTGTATGGCGTTTACACATCTTCATTAGTCCAGTGATTCCAGTTGGAGTAGAGCAGTAGACCGTTAAACCCAATTACATATCCAACCGGATTTCCCAGATAGTTACATTTAACCCACAGGCACTTGAAGGGATTAAAATAAAACTACTATTATAGTCAAGCAGTAGTAAGAAGTTTTATTTTAATCCCTTCAAGTGCCTGTGATTATCAGCATGGAGAGCATGATTTATACTCCGCATAAACCTTATTTGACTTAATATACTACTTGTCATATTGTCGTTCTATTTTTATAGAAATGTAAATGAAAGGGAAAATTAAGTTTAAGCTACAAAACCTAAGCCTAATATAAGGTCCTGAAGTTATTCTTGGAATGTGATTGCATTATCTTGGTCGGGCGCGGGGGGGGGGGGGGTATTGGTCGAATGGTTAGAACGTGCGCGCTGTATCACACGGCCTGTCATTGAGTCAACTGGCGGGGTTTCGATTCCCCGGTATAAATTATTAGCAAGAACCAGGGGCGGATTGGGCCATCGGGCGATCCGGTCGGACAAAATATGAAAAAAATAATTTTGTCCAATTCGTCTAAAAAACCTTTTTCTGATGAACATTATATGGGGGGGGGGGGTATTGGACCGTCCATGGAGCGATGATGATCATGTTGTATGTGGCCGGTGGCTTTAACGAGCCGCCACGCCATCACTGGAGTCTGGAATGGGCTGGTGTAATAGATTTTCTGGGCAGGGTGTGCTTGGTGTGGGCCGGAATTCGGAATCCTGCAATGGGGATTCCGAATTTCATCCGAAAATTTCATGGGATTCACCCGACACTGTCGCCCGCAAATTTACTAATTATTACGTCACCTGCACCCTGTTTGTGGTTGTAAATTACTTGCAGGTCGGGGTTTTGGCCTAAATTAATCGATTTATGAGATATATTATTTGACAGAGATTATAATCAGATATGCCACCAAATCGCATATTTGGGGTTCATTTTTCAACATTTTCCCGGGGGAGAGCACCCGGACCCATCGCCCCGGGCAAAGAACTATGATTATAATATGTTGATATCAAAGTTATCGAGTCCAAAAAAATCACACTTTCCCAGAAAAAAATAAATAAAGACGTAAAGTCTCCCTAATTTTCATTTTTTGAAAACTGTGTTACTTTGTCTAATTTGAAAGCCGTGACATTTTGATGCCTTCTGATAATAATATATCATAGTGCAAATGACTTTCTACAATGGGATTAATACTATTTCATTACAACACGACGAAGGATATCACCAATCATCAATGCATAGAAAAATGCAGACACGATAATGTAGACTGTTTACATAGTTTACCCAAGACGTAGTCTTTTATACCTGTAAGCCTCGCCTCGGCTATTTGCCGCTTCACGTTCACAACGCGCACCTGTCAGCGTATGAATACGAAAGCGTCTAAAGTAGTGCTTATCACCTACAGCGACGAGAGAGAGATATTGTGAACCGTTTTATTAGGAGTATGATGTCAAAAAATCAAGCGATAAATGGATTATAACAACATTTGAATGAAATAGGTGCGAATATTAGATTGCCACCAGCACCTCTGATTATCAATGTTAATTGACAATGGGATAAATTATCAGATAACCTGTATAAAACAAACATCGTCAAGAAAATGTAAGAATACCGTTACACTAACAGTAAACTAAAGGACTCAAGTCATCATGAGCACTAAAGGAGGCGGAGAGCAAACTTTGACGGTAAAATTTTTTATTAAATATTTTTATTTAAAAGTATTATATATAAACTGATCTCGTGTAGAGTTAATATGTCAATATCAAGTTATTTACCAGTAATTATGATATTGAATATGATACATATTATGTGTATGTACTATATTTGACTTGAGTGTACGCTATCCGAGATATGGTTAATACACATTTATTTGTATATCTACTTACATAAAGCTAATTTTCTTAGCTAATACCCCCTTTCCTCTCATGAAATATAAAAAATCTGTGATAGTTATTATCATAAATATATTTATTTATTACATTGTAAATGTACACATGTAAGATTTTCATTTATCTAATAGGTAATATGTTAACAGTTGGTTGAAATACTAATGTTATGAAAAAACAGTATAAGTATGCATTTAGTTTTGAATTATCTTCTTTGATTAAATGGAAATTTTAATATTGCCTATAGACTGGTACTGGTCACGCGGAATGTCAATTTCGTTATTTGAATATTCTTAGTCATATGAAAGCTATTTTAATATTTGATAACATGTATATGATCAGTTTTTGGATTCTTCATCTTGCTTTTTCATCAAATAATGAATACCAAAAATAGGTTGAATAAATGTTATTAAAACGCAAAATATCTGTGTGGTAGGGTTAATCTTACATGTACAAATCTACATGCAGTCTGTTTCATTTCAAAAATAATATTTAAATGGAAATATCAGCATCTAGGAAATTAGTTATACTATTATAGTTATATATCTGTACAAAATTTCAAATTTTACACAATGTGCATTAAAGCAGTCATTGAATAGAAGTGACCGGGCCACTCGCTCCAAATCAAATTAAAAATGGTTGATTCTGAACTGAAGTGAACTACACTGATTCAATCTAGTTGCGTGTATTCAAAGTCCATTTATATCTCAGCTATCCGATATACTAGGGAGTTGATTTTAGACTTGTCATCATGAATAAATGTCTAAATAATTATTTATATACTATTTGAAGCCAGAAAAAGACCTGCAATAGGCTTTAAATAGGATGTTAAACCCCATTTCATTTCATTTCATTTGCATCTTTAAATACACAACAGTTGATTCTAGTTTGAATATAAAACAGTTTATTTTAGTTGGAGTATACAACAGTCGACTTTAGTTAAAATATTCAATGCATATTTATAATTCTGTGAGTCTTAAAGTAGCCAAGTCTATAACTCAATATCATCCAAAGTCTTTGACATTGAAAAAACAAATTATCTGTCAATTTAAATCAACATTGATGTTGTAATTTTACCGTGAAAGTATGGGCTTCATATATCCAATATTTAAGACAGAATAAACATTTTACCATTGGTACATGAATCGTATAACAGAATGCGTTTCAGCTCATTTGTAACAAGGGACTCGAAGAACGAGGCTAGACATATTCTACAAGTCTTGTCAAACGGTGATGTCATATTCATATCTGGAGAGCATGCACAATAAATACTACCGCGGTGTAAACTGGCATAACCAGATGCTAGAGATTGACATTCGATTGAGATTTCTCGCCTAAGCTTATTTCGCCGAACATAACTAATTTGAAATTAAAGTAAAAACGGAAATGATTGAATGTAAATCAGTTTATATACATTCATATTACATTATTATATGCTTTGCGACCCATTTGTGTCAATTTCTAGGTCCCAAATATTAGCGATTTAGCTCCTTTAAGGTGATTTTAGATATGATGTAACTTGTACTTTTGTATATTAATGAAATATAATTATTTTTTTGTTGAAATTTTCTATAAGAATTATATCAATCTATAAATGGTTTTAATCAAATAACAAACTTTTATAGAATAACAATTACTATGGTTTATTTCACTGTGACATATGGTACATGTATATTTAAATAGACAATTCATGTTTGGATAAATTCAGCCCAAGTAGACACTGAGTTCACAATTATTATGGCAGCTTTTTCTTGTTCTGGGTTTGGTTTTTGATGAGTAAAGGGATTTATGTGGGCACATTCATGTTGAGGATTACCAATATTTAAATCAAATAAGGAATTTGCCTAAAAGAGGGAAAGGGTGAGAAATGACATAAATACATGTCACTGTATAGATTAAATCTTTAAAGTTGCTCAAATTCTGTATTCCACCCTGCATCTAAAATAAAATGAAAATGGAATGGAGTTTAACGTCCTACTGTCCTGCTCCGACTGGGATAATTGGAGTATAGATTCATTATATTAATACCTTGATTAAGTTCGATGTATAGCACCGTTAGTTTTGTTTATAAGATATGGCATTTTTTGTTATTTGAGGTGATAAACTACATACATGTATTAAATAACCATAAAATACTAGTTTTATTTACCAACTATGTTTCAAACTTGGCCCAAAAGCATGATAATAAAGGGTGCTGATGACAACAAAAGTCAAATTTCTCAGTTTTCTTGGAAATTCTAATAGTACATGCTACATGTAATAAGGGATATTGATAATCCCATCCTTAGATCGAAAGTAAAGGTTATAAGCGACATTTCAACACCAAAAACGTTATAAAATATCAACTCAAAGTATTTTAAATTCTTTGTTCATTATTTACCTTTAAACAAGATTTTATGATTTTGGTTAATTCTTTGAATACGTCCACAACAAGTTTTAGAATACAACAATTCGGATGTAAAAGTAAACAATTTCTTCAGTGCACTACTCTGTTGCTCTCAAAATCAATTTATACATGTACATTCAAAAATGGTAGTCTTCAACCATAAAAAATTAAATTCAGTCATGTTCCAGTCATGATAGATGGTAGACCTGAATAATCACATCTTAGAGGAAATTCCTTCTGACGTCATACATGTACATAGATAGACGCCAATGATCCAGAGTGAAACTTCTGCTGGAGGTGGCCATGATTGTTTACTGCAGATGACGTGAACAATGTGTACGATGTCATAATTTATTTAAGAACTGATCACGGTCAGGGATACTTTCTCGTTTGCTATAAATATGTTGTTTTTTGTCTTTCCGCTTGTATCTACATTATTACACAACAACAGTCAGACTTTTATGTAATTCTCTGGGTAACTTAGAAATTTATTAACATGACAAAACTATAATCAATTCTTGATGCCATCAGATGACTCCAATTTTAAGTAGATTAGAACGGTTCGACCATTTAATGATTTAATTTAAAAATGGAGAAGCGTGGCTAATGAGAAATATTGTGGTTAGGATCAATGCACACATCTTGTCAAAACTACCAACTATAGATGACTTTGCTCAAAATAAAGTAATTTGAATGAAATTTTCAATATATTTATTTTGAATTATCTATTTTGAAATATTATAGCGAGAACGACCAGCTCTTTATCTAAATCTTACATAATGCTCCTTTAATTAATATGATTTTGTCATTGCGGAACGGGACATCAGCCTAATCTCAGATTAGAGATTAATTTATTTGAATGTCATGTTCATGTACATGTAACATCATACTGCACATTAATAAATCATTATACTGTCTGTCTTTGTTGGATGTGATTGGATTATATTGATATTTTTAATTCACGGGCGGTCTAAGATTGATTAAGATTTTATAAAATGTTATGAAATATGAATTGTGCCAAGAATGAAAATGAATGTGATGTTATGATTATAAAAATGAGAAGATATCCATGGCATGCAGATCTCAACCAAGGATGTCTTCATTGGGGAAGGTTTTAGTTAGGTAAAAGCTTTAATAAGCAATACATGTACATGTAGTTTAAAAAGCTCTGCATTCCTCAGTTCCAAGAAAAAGTCATGTAATGATGTTTCACTGATCGGACCCAACGAAAAACCTCTTTTGTGCATACATGTACAATGTAACTTGAACGAATATGTATTTGGGTTTAGGTTCTGTAAATCTTGCATAATATTATGCTCTATCAGCTGCCCCTCTCCACCACCTCCCCACCCCTTCCAAGTTTCATCAGCAACATGATAGTCAAACACTTGTCTACGATATCACCCGTGTTGGGAGTGGACGTAAAACCCCAGAAACAAATGAACAGGAAAAAGTGTCAAATGACTAGACTTGCGAAGCTCGGCGAAGCCCATTCACGAGCAAGTAGGGAGTTCTTATGGAGGGTACATTGTATGAGGGACCTCCCCAGGAATTTTTGAAAAATAGACTGCCAGAAATGCTGTCTGACAGTATTCAGTCAGACACCGATTGTCGAGATAAATAGAGCTGACCAGATACATGTACCATCTGTCGCCTGATCACGGGTTTATTCGACCAGAGAAGAAAGTGTCAAACAAACGGACTTGCTAACCTGAACGACGCCCCCTAATGAGTTTCAAAGTGGCAAGCTGTCTGACAGTATTCAAGCACCGATTGTCAAGATAAATAGAGCTGACCACTGATCACTGGTTTATCCGACCAGAGAAGAAAGTGTCAAACAAACAGACTTGCGAACCTCAACGAAGCCCCCTCATGAGTGTGGCGAGCCCTTACAGGGGGTATTGGGGACCTCCCCTGGAAAAATATGGCGGAAATGCTGTCTGACAGTATTCAAGCACCGATTGTCGAGATAAGTAAAGCTGATCAGATACTGTCTGTCGCCTGATCACTAATTTATCCAACCCCAGAGAGGAAAGTGTCAAACAAACAGAATGTGAATCTCAACGAAGGCCCCGAAAATTTGAAAAATAGACTGCCGGAAATGCAATCTGGTAGTATTTCAGTAACAGATATTGCCTGTCGCCAAATCACTTGTTTATCCGACTCTCGCTGCATTGAAGCCATATCCCAAAACTTTGAGGATCGTAAAAAGCTCTCCTCAAGTGGTTCACATGTTATGGTTTATAGTAGGTTTACAGCAGGATGGGCTTGGTAAGAAATCACTCTACAACATGCAAGTCTATGACTGAGTGGGAATGTGGGATTTAATCACCGTTGGTTTGACGAAACATATTGATTACTGAAACATATCACAAATACAAATACTTTTTTTATTTTCTAAAATTATTGGGGGGTGGGGTGGGGTGGAGGTGGGGCAAACATATATACTGTATATATATATATATATATATACATGTATATATATTGGACATAAAACATATGATCATTCTGCCAGAACAAACTGGGTACTGTAATGATATACTGTAGATTGTCATTAATATCAACATCTTACCATGACGCACTCGGAACTGTAATAATAATATATATTGTCATCAATATTAAGATCTTATCATAAGGCACAGATACCGATTATATCATAATTATCAGTAATCAGTTTATTGAAGTAGATACATGTAATGTATAAATGGGTTCACAAATATGGGATAGTAAAAGCAATACTATCTTTATTTCAAAGCTGCATAAAATGAAATTAAAATTATAATATTATAAATTTATATACATGTATTTATATAGTGATGTTAAGAAAATTGACCATCAATAACTACGGCTATATCGGTTTTCAAATTCTCATTAATTATCTTTAAATGCCTACGATCTATGTACAATATTTGTTCAGATAATTTGTGTCATATTTAAGCAATCTATTTTACCTGACAATGCTATCAGATTTCTTTATCACTATATTGCCTAAAGAATAATTCAAGTCACTCTTATTTTGTCATGTTTAAAAGCAATAACGCAAGGCATATAAATCTTTGATAAGTATTTGAAAGAACTTATATAAAGATATCAATAGTTTTATATACTTCACTTATCTCCTGTACAGACTTGTTTGATGTTTTATCTAACTTTCAATAGTGTATTTACAGAAAAACTGTTCAAGAGAACAGATAGAACAAACAATAAAGGAACAATACCAATCTTAAATGATAGCGAGAGAGAGAGAGAGAGAGAGAAATGGAGTTTAACATCCACTTGACACAAGCCAGGTCATTTTGGGACTAACACATGGTTCAAATTCATTTTCAATAATTCGGTTGCGCGTAGGGGTCTTTAGCAGTAGGAGGAAACCGGAGGACCCGGAGAAAACCCACGAGGTTGGACAGGCGACCCTACTCCTTGTCACGTACAACCAGGAATCAAAACCACGCCAGGTGACTAAATGACAGACGTACTAACCATTCGTCCATCCGCCCCCCACCCCCACTGAGAAATAGAAATGTCAAAGTCAATAAAGTGGTAAACTACATCATTTTACCATAAGTGGTATCAGATGTTTTGGAAAGATTAAATTTGTGTCCAGATGGATTTGAACCATCAGTTAGGACATTTTTGCCTCCAGTTTTGGCCTCATGGCTATATACATGTCAGTTGTGATAAGTGTGAAGTATGGTGCAGGTTATGCTTGCTCTTTCCTGGGCTCATCTGAATAAGTCTTGTTGTTTTGCTGTGAGTTCATGTAGCGAACATGTAGAAACATGTAGACAGTTTGAATTGACTGTGCTATATCCGCATGTGCATGTATGTACTGTTTGTCCTTTGTTTTTTTTTGGAACAATAAGGCTGCATTATTGTATTACATGTAAAAGAAATATTTTGCTTCCAGACACAATTACCCCCATACATGTATAACTAATTGCCTTTATAAAACTTTTACCATTCCCTTCAATGTGTACTCTTTATCACTGGGATGCATCTAAAATGATCTATTTTAATCCTTTTCTATCATACGCCAATAGTATTTTTTATAGGCTTTATTTTGAGAACATCATTTCTATATAGAGCCAAAAATAGTGTTTGAAGTAAAACGTTTTTGCATACAATATTAATTGTTAATTAGATGTTCTTGATATGATTAATGGAAAATTTCTGTTATGTTCATTTCTAAGAATAATAGTAAAGTTAAACAAATGAATTTAATCAAATCATCACATAAAAAGAATCTAATTTTGTCTATTTTTGATGTCAAACACATGTCAATAATGCATAAAGAAAATATATGGAAATCAGCATATGATGAGTTTGGTTGACATGTCTGATCAGATACATTTGATATCATTAATTTAATTATTGGTAATTAGGAAGCAGGAGTGTTTCAAGGAAGTGCCCCACTTCAAAGAAATTTCCCATACTAGAAAAGATAACCCCTAGGTAAATTTTGATTACCAACATAAGAACATCCTTTGTCAGAACGTGATATTGAGTAATAAATTTCTTCTGATGCTCGACATTCTCCAATCCATATATTGTGAATCTTAAAATAAAGTTTTTATCTAGAACAATTGAATTTCATATTTAGCTAAGTCCAAATTCCTTAGCCTATTTGTAATGTACATGTATATGACAAGTTTTAATCTAGAACAATTGAATTTCATATTTAGCTTAGTCCAAATTCCTTAGCCTATTTGTAATGTACATGTATATGACAAGTTTTAATCTAGAACAATTGAATTTCATATTTAGCTTAGTCCAAATTCCTTAGCCTATTTGGAGGCTGATGTCAAGGAAGTGTAAAATATTTTGGACTCTCAAATTAATGCATCTACATGTTGAACTACTTCACTCAAGAGCAGGCTTTAGATTATCAATCACTATGGTAATCTTAGTCTTACTTCAAACAATACTTGAGAATATCACATGCTTGGAAATACTCGATGTAATAATTGTTTTAAGAAATTTTAAAAATGAAATTGTTACCCAATCCATGTACATGTAATCTACTATAATGCTGAATAAAAAGATTGTTTATAAAATATGTGTTGTCTGATGCATTCTTACTTTAAACAATCCTAAAACACCAATTTGCCCAGCCATAGATATATTCTATATATTTCTTTAGTTAGAGAACATGTAATTGTTTATTTTACTTTTATCACTGTGTACCGTGGTGTACTTGTCTCCATTGACAAAGCTGTTGGTGGGCTTATTTTTTTTGCCTGGTAATGCCTTGCTTATGTATATTTATGAATTTTACACATCTTAATTTTTAATGTTCTTCTTTTCAGGTTGCCCTTCGTATACGACCTTTAAATGAAGATGAAATACTTCAAGGTGCAAGTCCCATCGCATATAAAGTTGAAAATAATGTAAGTTTTTATAGTCTATTGTAATACCTACTGTCTCAGTTACAAGCTTGACATTACTATGCTCATCAAGTTAAGGTTAAAGGGAAAGAGCTGGCCGTTCTTGCTATAATAGTTCAAAGATAAATAATGAAATGTGAATGTAGAAAATGTTTGTCAAATTACTTTATTCTGAGCGGAGTTATGAATGGTTACTTTTATCAGGTTTCAGACAACGGATGTAATAAACTTTATATTACTTTTAATCCAAAAAAAAAGACTTTTGATATACATGTACATGTACATGTATAAGAAAAGAAAGCTATATGTATAACTCTTATCGTCAAGTCTTGGTGAGTGACAGCATGCATTTTCTAGAATTTGGGTGGCCTAGTGAGTTGATTATTTACTTGCCATGTGAATAAATGTCTAAATAATAATTGTCCCCCATTGTTTTAGCCTTTAATTGTCCTCTAAAACCTAGTCAGCCATGTTGTTGTTATTGATTGTAGACATGGGATAAAACTTGTCAAACCAGACATATGTGGCTAAAGGTAGATTACCATATTGATTTCTAGCTGTTCTTCCTGTCACAATAAGTGGCTGAAAAAACAACTAAAATCGCTCAATCGATCACGATGTGTTATTATTAAAGAATATTTGTTAAGATATTACTATCAAAAATATTGAATGGGGATTGTAATGCGAAATATCATAATCCATTAGCAACAGTATAATCCTTTCAACAGGTAACGAGAAGCGAATAATTAGGAGAGAATGACTTCAAGTATGTCTGGCTAATGTTGATTAAAGGTTTTTAAATGTGTATTGAAATTGATTTTCTCCTGTTACTAATTGCTAAAAGTCTGCAACAAATTGCATCTTCTAGACATTGATGGCTTAACTTATTAATATAAATAGCATTAATGATGGTAAATAAAATGGTGACATGTTTGAAAATATTCTGAAATGAAAGGATGGTAAACATTGAAATTTATATAATCGGATGCCTATGGGTGCATACATGTAGCTGCTATACATTATTGTATGCCTAGTATTGGGGATGTGTTAATAGTGTAAGTGTAACCCTGACGGAGCAGTTGTGAGCAGCCGAGCGTCATGCATCAAAAAGACGCCCATCTTTTAGGTGTGGGGAGGGGGTGGGGGTTAAGGCCTTCAATACATACTGTAAATTTTATAATCCATTTTAATTTTTAGAATCAATTTTTTATATAGTACAAATTATAATTTTTGAATCACAAAGGGATATGCAAAGCATTTTATTTTCTTATATATGCACATGTAGTTCCTTTAGTGACTGAGTCTTCTCTAGGTGGGCTTGGCTGACAAAATATACTAGATATTTCCTATTCGAATACTGGTAATGAATACCAAAATATAATTTCTGATAGCCATGAAAAACATGTATTATTTGAATGCAAATATTTTTATGAGTGTTCTTCTTGGTTATACATGTGAGTGAAGCAGTGCCTAAGGAGTTAAACCTCTAACTCAGTAGTTAAACTTCTACATGTAACTCAGTAGTTTTCATAACAACCAAATTAAAATCAAGAAAATTTAGAATTCAATATTGGTCCATTTCAATCAATATTGATGTTGTTATCTTTTCATGAATATATGGGATCCTGATATCCAATAATTACGAGACAATGAAAATTTTATAATCCCTACGAGTTGTATATTCTAAGGTTTCAGGCAAAATTTGTAATGATGAAAGAAAAGCATATCCTACAAGACAATGCTGAAGTAATTAGTAATGGCTGATTCACAAACACCAAAATAATACTAAAAAACCCATGTAGAATGGAGCCATACACTGTTTAAGCAATCTTTACTTTTTCATTCATACATGTACATGTACATTGTACTTCTTTGGACAAAATTATATTTATGTAAGCTTCATCTTCTAAGAAATGATGAGCTAATTTTAAATTACTGTGATTATATGTTATTATCAGGTAATTGACATTAAAGCATTACAATCATAGCATACTAGTAATTAGTTTGCCAACCAACGTCACAAGAATTTGATAGACTTTATTACTTCTATTGATTATAGATATTTTGCAAGCGATCATGTTATATAGTTAATTACGTTTTGTTGAATGTCTTGGCAACAAAGAATTACTTTTATCTCTGTTGTATCTACCATTTTGAATTTGTCATTACTTTTATCCCTTTTATATCTACCGTTTTAAATTTGTCATTACTTTTATCTATATATCTATATAATACATATGCATGCCAAGATACTATTTTTCTACCGTTACTTAGCTGTATGTGTATGTGTGCAGGTATATATCCTAAATAACAAACCTCATCTCTCTACCCCCCATGTTTTGAGATAAGGGATGGTACTGTATAGTTCCACATAGCAAATCCCAACGCAAATCACATCAGGCCTCAGAAAGCAAAACTGACACGTGTAGCACTTTGGTCCTTAAGACAATATCGGATCTTTGAAAAATTGTTGCTTCACTCTTTCTATAGAGTCAAATCACTCATACTTAATGAATGTGAATGATATATTTATATATAAAAAACAGTGATATTTTGGTAAAATCTGAACCATTGTCAAAATAGCCATCAAATTCTGTATGTTTATTGACATATGGTTGGTAGACCAAATAAGGTAATGTTCTCCCCCCTGCTCTTGAGAAATGGAGAGGTTTATTCCATATTTGGGATGGAAGTTAACTTCAAGGCTAATCTAAGACGTGCAGAAGTTAGGGGGTTATAAACGAGGAACCTTCGAAGTCATTCCAGCTTAACAATAAAGTTGTAGGAACCATTTAACCTGTTACGATCATGAAGAAAACAAACACAATATTTTTCATCAAAACAACGATTGATTATTATATTTATACTATTTCTGCCACATCCAACTACAATTAAGCATATAATCCTACCTGAAACGTTAATAATTATTGTATTTAAAATCGAGACATTAAGCCGTTACTAGGAATGCCATTTTTAAACGGGAGATTATGACGGTGTATAACAGATAAAAACAACACTTCATTAATTTAAACGTGAATATTTAGCGTTAGGTGATAGTTGTGCCACTATATTGGCCTCTGTAAGTTTAATCAGCCACTTGGAACTAAAGGCACCCAATCGTAGCTAAAAACAAGCACCTCAGTATATCTCAACGTTTTTGGCTACATTCTCGTAGCTACAGTGGCGGATTAAGCTCCACCAAGGCCTGAGGCGGCAGTTGCTGCAGGGCCTATTTAGTTTTTAAAGTTAGAGCCAAGGTAGTTGCTAACATTAAAAACGTAATGTAACTTTATATGCCCATAAATGACGTCACGTGGATACAATATATTAAGCAAGACATAACCGAAAACTTACAAGGATTTAACGTACATTGTAGGCCTACGGTTAAAAAATAAGATCATATCTCCAAACAATAGGGCCTATTTAAAATGGCGTGGGCCTAATTAATTTCGGGTCAGGGCCTATGTTGATTCCCGTTGGGCCTAAACCCCACCCCCCTAACATTCATTGTCTATGCATTTTTAATCGTATCAGACAAGTCTAAAAAATTTTTTTTTACAAAATCTTTGGGCCTGAGGCTGCAGCCTCATCAGCCTCACTGATAATCCGCTACTGCGTAGCTAGTATATATCCCAGCACATTAGTAGTGTGTACAATTTACGTAAAGTAGTATTTGGCATTTGTGAAAAAAACCCACAAGGGCCTGTTTCAGTTTCCATCGGCCAGCAAAGGGCCTTGCATAAAAGACAGCAAGAAATTTTAACACTTTAACATTTAAAACTTAAAATTACACTCCAAGAAATGTATATATGGTTGTAACTCACTGCCTATACATATTTCCACCATTGTATGTTGTAAACATAAGATTTAACTATTTTATATGTTTGGCGAGAACTTATATAGGCCTTTGTCTGTTGTTCAATCCAATGCAATAGTTGAACCTGCTTTCCCCTTGTCAGTGGTGCTGGACAGAGGGCTTGGCAAGGAAATACATAAAATCATTGGGATGTCACGAAAAACTTCAATCCAATTTATACCAATGTCAACATGTTAAAGATGTCCTGAAGTTGGAAATCCAAAAAGGAGCAAGGCCATAGAATTACTGTCCGGGTAAAATCTTCTGCATAGCACACACCATAGTGTATACATATCTGCATTATTGGTTGGTGCAAAAATAGTTAAATCCGATTTCATTCCAAATATTAGATACATTAGGTACAATAAATTTTGTAGCTATGTGACCATCCAAAATAATTCAGAAGTGATATCAGACAGATGCTCTTGAAACTTATGAATTTGGATTAGAGAAGGAGAAGGGCAGTGGCAAAGCCAAGAATTTTCTAAAGGAGGTACTAATGACAGAAGGTCATAAAAAGCACCAAAGGTTTGAATTTGCTAGGGGGGGCTTTTGTGTATTTTCTGTTGAGAAGACTTTTAAGATTTTAGAGAAAGAAGTATTTCTTATAATCACATCTTTTATACAAAAGTATACATATTTTGTTTTATTTTGTATATGAACTATGTTATACATGTCACTGATTTTAGTCTTTGTGCAGCTAGGATATCTGTGATGAGAATTGTAATAGGAATAGTTTGAACATGATCCAACATAAGTAATTAAAGGTCATGATGATATACATGTATATTGTGAAGCTTTGAATAAAATATAAGTATAATATGATATATATTGACCCAGTCATGCATGTATTATGATTAGTATTAATTAGGAAATATAAGAATGTGACTGATTGTATAGCGGATGGCATTAACCTCAATTCTCTCTGATAATGTAGGACAAGAACACGTAAAGTATGGTTTATATATGAATAATCCCTAATGATCAACCTTTAATAGGGTTCAATGTGGTATTAATAAATTCTAAGCATGGCTTAATTCTACAAGTACAATTTGTAATAGATGATTTTGTAATAAGTTTAATCTGTTCAATAATATTACTACACACAATCGGTACTTAGTACCATAAAGTTTTAATTATTGTCGAA